AGTGAGTTGGGTTTAATGCCACATTGAACAGTATTCCAATTGTATCACGGCATGTCAGTTACACTGGAAGGAAAGCCCAAGTGATGCAGGTCTCAGACATTTACCACTTTGGTGAAACCCATGGATATCGTGCTGATGTTGCACAAGAAATCTTGCAGTTTGTGTGATGTGATGTCAGGGCTCAGTGGTTCCCATATCACTGGAACCAGGCCGTTATTCAAACATTGTGACTACACGGCGTCCCAGTTGTATGTATTCACGGATGACGGAGGAACATGGGGCAAACAACCAACCCATGAAGTATTGACAATAAGGTTCACCAGCGATATCACAAGCTGAAAATACTGACACCAAGCTTACACAACATATGCAAGAAGTCAAGATAAAAGCGTAACCAGTTTGCTACCAAATCCTCACACACATTTTCTTATTTGGAAGTCAAGGCTCAAAAGTGTCTGACATAATTCCCTCACTTGACACACCAGTTAGCAGTGAGTGAGTGAGTATGGTTTTCCGCCGCTTTTAACAATATTCCAGCAACATTAAGGGCGGAACACCAGAAATGGGCTTCACACATTGTACCCACAAACCAGTTAGCATGTGTTTTGAACACCTCAGAGTTTAGCCATCTCTATCACACCATGACTGAACAAACTGGTCGATATGTCTGTAGATCAAATCCAAGCAGAGCCTTACCAACACATACGCTTGTTTCAAATACGAGATTATTCGTCTTAATGACCATGGATAATTTCACCAGACAGTTTCAAGTTCATACATGGTACACAATAGCAAAGTCACGTACAAAAATAGTAAAACATGAAAATCATTGTGGAAAATTGCTTCTCAAGATGTATCTGATTATATAATAGGCACACGAGGTCACAAGATTGAATTGCAGCACTTGACGACAGTGAGCTGGTGATAAGCACTTCAAAGGGAAACAACTGCTTTTCTTTTGAGCCCCTGAACACATCTGACCTATTGAGAAACAACTTTGTTCAAAACAACCCTAAGACCAATCTCATTAAAATCAGATCTTAGTTCCCGCAACCGCTAAACAAAGATCTGGACATCCCATTTCAGATCACGTCAGACCGACCTTGCCTTACTTTTGACTGACCAATGGAATGACTGACAAGAAGTCTACATTAGCCAATCAGAACGCAGCCTTCTCGTGCTTTACGGCACTAGTTTCAAATTGGCGACTACGCTTTGAAACATATTTTGACAAATTCTCGATCAACAATGTGAAACCTGAACAAAAGAACATTCTGGAATGGTTAATAGATGGTCTAGATTGTATGGATTCAGTCGTTATGCCATACCTATTGTTCGGAATACCCATGTTTAGAAATCACATTTAGACTGTCACTTTCATGATCTGTTAAGCGACGCTCTGATTGGTCAGATGAAAGGTCGTTCTGACGTGATCCCTAATGGGATGTCCTCAGATCTTTGCTTACTGGTAGCGAGAACTAAGATCTGATTTTAATGAGATTGCCCTAACACCAGATGTCTATCCAAGCTCGGGAAGACTGCCTAGGAATTTGTTGGAGATTAAAAAGTAATAGCTCCATATAGGTGTGAACCGATGAGTCGCTTGGGCATAACCGAATGATAAAGCACTGACTAGGGATGATCATTATACATACGTCTATCAATACAACACCTGGTCAAGCAGGGTTTCGATGCAAACTAAGGCTAGTTCACCTTGTCATCAATGTATTGCCATTGCCCATGGACACAAAGCATCAACAGTTTCGTCAATTGCTACACCGTTAATGAACACACAGGGAGGCCTACAATAGTTTTACTGCTTGAACTGGAGAGGGTGATATCTAGCACTAATCAAGCTCCACATTATAAAACAAATGCTGATACGGACATTATATAACACTGGTTAGGCCAGACTTTTTTTTCGTTTGGATGGTTGATGGATTTTGGCCCAAATAGTCCAGTCTGTAGGTCGAATTATTTTTACAAAAATTCCAATTTCAAACATTTCCTCAAAATGTTACGTAGGTAGGGAAAAGAAGTGGGGTGAGAGGAATAGGGAAAAACACAGCTAATGTCTAGGCTGGATTGGCGACATTAAATTCGTTTTTTTTCAAACGTTTTACTTTTTGGGGGGTGAGTGGGATATTAAAACACTGGTTTTCATTTTATTTTATTTTTTCACATTTCATGTTTTTGGAGTGGGCATATTCTTAAACCAAGTTATAAAAAAATCTGGCCTTACATATGAAATAGAAGTTAACCATTACAGAATACATTGCCACGTGTGAGCATGAAGGACAGATGGACATAACTGACTTAGAATAGTGTGAAAGACAATTGAGAGAGGGACATGCAATTACATTTTGTGGACTTGGAAATGCTACAGTGAACAAATAAATTGTAGGATTGACACGAAGCCACTAATACCAGGTTCAGATTGCAAGGGATCATAAAACAAACAATTACCTGAAAAGCAGTTTGTAATGTTTACATCTTAAGAATCTTTAGGAAATTGACAGGTCAGAAAACAGATTATACTACACATATGCAGAAATAATCTGACCACATTCAATAATTCATCCAAATCATAAACACCACACCCTTTGACATGAATGACAGGTTACACTGTATTTAAGCAAATAATATGTTAAAAAGATCTTGCGTCACATCAATTTCAAGATCAGATTTTCATAAATTTCTGAATTCAGAAAATATTTATCTTGGTGTATATATTTTAAATAATGTAAATACAAAGAAGATTAAGCACGTTTTGATTATCCTTATAGGAGACAGCCCCTCAGGAACAAACACAATCTCATTAAATCAGATCCTAGTTCTCACTACCGCTAAACCAAGCTTTGAGATTAGAACAAACACAAAAGTGTCGGTGCCTAAACACCATGCTATGTCTAGGGTTCAGATCCGAGTGTACATAAACAATACATTTCAGGGAGAAGATAATTAAGTAGAACAGCATCACCTAATCATATCACAAACTGACAAGCGGAATGATTGAGACTACGGATCACCATCCTAAGATTCTTTAGTTATGAGTACATCATTTACAGACTTACAAACTTTCTTCCAGATCAAATTAACCATAACATCCCATTATTAATAAAATATGCAAATAGAGATTTACTTGACAAATGCGTTCTGCAAGGTTCCTTTATATCAGGAAATACTTAAAATAATTATTTCTAGAATTTTAGAGAACTGAGTACAAATTGCTCCACCTTTCCAAAATATTCAAACATAAGCAGCTTGATGAACACTAGGATGGTTTTCAGTCATTGAAACTACATGGGAAATCCACCCTGTGTCTTCAGCGTAGAGAGCAAACGCTTCAACCACTGTGCCACCAGACATCCCAGTCAAAGTGTGTGAGCGAGTTGGGTTTAACGCCGCTTTTAACAGTCTTCCAGTTATATCATGGCGTGTCAGCTTAATGTGGGAGGAAAGCCCGAAGTGATGCAGGTCTCAGACGTTTACCACTTCGGTGAAACCCACAAGCACGGGTATGATGCTGACAAACCTAGAAACATAATCCGGGCAAACCGGGATTCGAACCCACAATCAAAGGTTTCTGGCGTGCCCAAGGGACGCAAGTCTGCACAGCGAATTGCGGCGCCTTAGACGACTGGGTGACAGGTGCCCCCTCCCAGTCAAAGAACTCTTTAAGTCAGATCTGTGTTTAGGTAAACAATACAAGCATCTTTGCCAAAAAGAGGCTACAAGAATGGTCCGTGACAAAATGTCTACATACATTACAATATGTTTGGTCTTTTATATACTAATCAACAACTAAGAAATGACCAATAATTAACTTATTGTCAGAGCAGAGTCATATTATTCTCCAAAGACGGGCTAGGGGTCAAATATTGGTAAATCTGACAAAAGTGACATAAAAATAACATTTTAACCATCATCTGAGAAGACAATTTCTGTACCAGCAATATCAGATCTGAAGCAACATGGTCAACAAGAATCATATACTATTGATAGATGTTGACACCACCCCGCAGAACATAGTAACAGTACTGTAACAGTACTTGTAACAGTGGTTGGTCCTGACAGACAGCAGCTGTAATATCAAGGCAATACCAAAACATGTCAAAAAAAGTTGAATACGAATATTGACAATGGTTCAAATCATGATGCAGTCACTGATCAGATTCATTTCGTCGACACTTTAGTCAAAAACAGACAAAAAAGCATTTGCACTGTGTTCATAAACGCAAAAGAAGTATAGGACCACATGATTCTATCATATTGCTATAATTAATCTGTATTAGCACAGCAGATTAACTAATAATTTAAAAGAATCGTGTGGTCCTTAACTTCTTTTGAGTTGTATAATTGGTCTGCCGACACCTTTACTTTGAACTCCATCAGAATTAGGTGAAATTATTCATCCTGCAACAGTTACCATGGTTACTGTAATGATACGTATGGTGTTTAACGGTCACCGCGAACACATTAACATGTGATGATATACAAGTGCTGAGTGTGCAGTATTATAGTGACAGTCGGCTGCCACAAAGATACATGATAAGATACACGGCACATAGCAATGTGAACAATATTCCAACCAGTGCGTTCGTGTTTCGCAAGCACTGTTACAATTTGAAGTAGAAAATAGAATTTACCATGTTTAAAAAGTCTCATAATATCAATACACACAATACTAGGTAGTTGTGCTACCGACGCCAATCAGATCTTCAACAAGTTTCTGGATTTGCATTGTACTAAGTATAACAAGAAAGGAACAACAAAAGCCATTGACTCAACAAACACAGGACCAAATATTTAGATTCATCATCTAAATGGTCAAAGTCTTAAATACAAATTTGGGTAGAAAATAAGCAGTTTGTAAGTTTTCAGGACAATTCTCTCCCTTAAAGACACATGTCATGGTTGGTATCATCTTAAAATAACATGAATATTTGACCCCGTCTTACCAAACACAGCATTATGATAAAAATACAGCACTGTGATAAATACACCACGAACAAGGTGTCACATGGTTTCAGCATACCACGAACAAGGTGTCACATGGTTTCAGCATACCACGAACAAGGTGTCACATGGTTTCAGCATACACCAAACAAGGTGTCACATGGTTTCAGCATACCACGAACAAGGTGTCACATGGTTTCAGCATGCCACGAACAAGGTGTCACATGGTTTCAGCATGCCACGAACAAGGTGTCACATGGTTTCAGCATGCCACGAACAAGGTGTCACATGGTTTCAGCATACACCAAACAAGGTGTCACATGGTTTCAGCATACCATGAACAAGGTGTCACATGGTTTCAGCATGCCACGAACAAGGTGTCACATGGTTTCAGCATACACCAAACAAGGTGTCACATGGTTTCAGCATACCAGGAACAAGGTGTCACAAGGTGTCACATGGTTTCAGCATACCACGAACAAGGTGTCACGTGGTTACAGCATACCACGAACAAGGTGTCACATGGTTTCAGCATGCCACGAACAAGGTGTCACATGGTTTCAGCATGCCACGAACAAGGTGTCACATGGTTTCAGCATACACCAAACAAGGTGTCACATGGTTTCAGCATACCACGAACAAGGTGTCACATGGTTTCAGCATACCGCAAACAAGGTGTCACATGGTTTCAGCATACCACAAACAAGGTGTCACGTGGTTACAGCATACCGCAAACAAGGTGTCACGTGGTTTCAGCATGCCACGAACAAGGTGTCACATGGTGTCAGCATACCACAAACAAGGTGTCACATGGTTTCAGCATACCACAAACAAGGTGTCACGTGGTTTCAGCATACCGCAAACAAGGTGTCACATGGTTTCAGCATACCACCTCAACCTTACTGAATACAAGGGCACTGTTATTAGAAATCATCATCGTCATCTGTTAAGAGGTTTCAAAACCTGAAGAAACATTTCAAAATATGCAAAAGGCAATCACTACACTGAGTTTCCAAAACAACTGAAAGTTCACAAATCTTCAGCTATTGATATTCCCCAGATTCAGTGTATGACTAACTCAATACAGTGACACCTTGTTAACGTGGACCCCTGTCTTCCAGGTGATTATTACTGGGACATATCTGTTAAACAAAAGTGACATTACTATTAGGGCTGGGACGGGAAAATCGGGTACCCGGGTCGGGTGGGTACTGAGTAGGTACCCACTGGACTACCCAGATCTGTGGTCAGTCATGTGATATATTGCTTAATGACAAAAGTTATCTAGAACTCTATGGTTATACTTCAAGTCACTAATGTTTGCATCTCTTTCTGACTATGCACCCATTCCTTCTGACTTTTCATATTTTTGAATAAAGTTATAACTTCAGTCAACTTCAGTGTATGCATGACCAAACATGTTTAATACATGTATCTAAATACGTTTTGCCAGGACTATGGTAAAAAAATCCCAATCGGACATTTTGTACCTATTTCTTGGGGGACCTACAGTGGATACCCGGGTAGTAAATTTGGATTCGTCCCAGGCCTAATTACTACGTACTCATGATTCGTTAATCCTGATAATTTCAGAGAATGATACCCTTGATTAACAGTGTTTCTGTAAACATGTTTACAAACCAGTACTGAACACATGGCAAGATATGGTAGATCAAAACCACAGTATCTGTGATTCACTATTCATATTGAATATCCTTAGCTTTGTAATCAGAGTAATCAGTGGGGTCAACAAGAATACCATGTTCGAGTTACGAAGTCTTTCAGTCGACATGCAATATATTCCCTCTCTGCACACACAAAGATTGATCGATAATATGACTTGAGGGTGTTTTAAGAAAACAACCAATCAAAGACCTTGTATAAATGAGTAATGGATATTTTAACACGTGAATTGAAACCATAAGATCTCATTGGTCATAGTCTCATGTCACCTGTGCATAACAATTTGCTCTCCAAGACAAAAGTTGTAAAGTTATAATTATTAAAGTGATGAAAAGAAGCAGAGATAAAAATGGAGAACGTGGTCTTTCAGGCATAGTATCCTCATTTGAGGACCTCCAAAATATTCCTCTCTTAACATACGGGCCATGACAAGAACCCCCTTACTTTCAAACACAGAGAAGTAATGTATTGAGTGGCATTTCACATGAAAAACTATCAGATACAATGGTGTTCATGAACTGATGCTTATTATTACATTGCTCATTAAGTTTCCCTAACATAGAAAAGCATTATAACAGGGCAAGACGGGAGAGGTTCCTGTCACCAGAACACTTGGTCAAGCTGAGCACTGTCCATCTTTACTGAGCGGCCACAGCAGTATCAGAGGCAACAATCGTCTCCACCTTCTTCTCCACATCAACATCAACATCCAGATCCTTTCCTGCAATAAAAAGGTGTCAGGCTTATTTATTTATCTACTTCTAAGCCCAGATAATCAGGAACACCCAATCTCATTAAAATCAGATCTAAGTTCTCACTGCCGCTAAACAGAGATCTGAGGACATCCCATTACGGGTCACGTCAGAACGTCCTTTCGCGAACTTTGACCGACCACTGAAACGACAAAGAAGAAGTCAACATCAGCCAATTAGATAGCAGCTTTCACGAGCTTTACATCACTCGTTTCAACCTGGCGACTTCCATTTCAGACTACGCTTGAAAAATATGTTTACAGAGTTCTTGATTAAAATTTTGAAAACTGAATAAACGAACATTCCGGAATGTCTAATATACGGTTGAGATTGTATAACAGTGCTTCCCACATACTGTGCAACGCCTCTTCCGTTCAAATGTTTATCCTACGGATGCGAGAGTCACTTGAGGGAATCAGTCATACAGGCCGTAACTGTTGTTCGGAATACCCTGTGTTAACATCTTCGAGGTTGCATGATCAGAAAACACATTCCAACTGTCACTTTCATGATCTGGTGAGTGATGCTTTGATTGGTCGGATAAAGGTCGTTCTCATGTGACCCGCAATGGTATGTCCTCAGATCTTTGTTTAGCGGCAGCGAAACTTATATCTGATTTGAATGAGATTGCAGGTAAACCCAATTTTAAACAAGTATTTTCACAAAGTGACGAAATGTCCCCCGCCGCCTTATGCGATATGTGTTTTTTTTCCAAATATTTTATTCCAGTTGAATAATATTATTTCTGTGTTAGATACCTCCATGGAACTATTTGTCGTACCATTAGAAATAATTACCCAAATTCCTGCAAATCAAATAACAGATTTCCCTACTGTTACCTTGAAAATTAAGTTAAGGTCACCAAAATCGACTGGTGTCTGCGGAGTCTGTATATATACACCATAGTACCAAATATGAAGACAATCCAGTGTTTAGTTCTTGAGATATTGCGGCAACACCGTTTTCCAACTCCAAAAGCAGATTTGCCTGCTGTGACCTTGAAAATGGGGTCAAGGTCACCAAAACCGACTGGTGTCTGCAGAATCTGTATATACACCATAGTTCCAAATATGAAGACAATCCAGTGTTTAGTTCTTGAGATATCGCGGCAACAAACAGGTGGGACGTACGGACGGTCATGAATACTATGTCCCCCGCTCCGCGCTTTCACGGGGGCGGGGGACAAAAATACATTCCTCAAAAGATCAAAATCGTTTTCACGTACGACTATCCAGCTTTGAAAATGAAAGGGCCCTGGGGTCCTTGACGTTCTCTCCCTTAGAAGTTGAGTCCAGGGACCCCTATATCATGTATATCTCAGGTGTCAGCATTAGGTTTTTTTTTTGGTTTGTTGTTTAACGCCGCACTCAGCAATATTCCAGCTATATGACGGCGGTCTGTAAATAATCGAGTCTGGATCAGACAATCCAGTGATTGATATTATGAGCATCGACCCACGCAAATGGGACTGATGACGTGCATCAACCAAGTCAGCGAGCCTGACCACCCGTTCACGTTAGTCGCCTTTTACGAAAATGCCATTTAAAGATTCATCTATGTTTGAGTTCAAGTGATAAAAACCCTTAAACTACAGCCGGCCTTCTTGTCTGTTTCACTTAATTTTGAGCACTGCTCTCATTTCAGACCTTACCTTTAGTTTCAGGTTCGGCTTCAATGACATTGACAACTTCTTCCTCTGTTGTCGCTTTGCTTGTCCCCTCCTCTTTCTTCTCTTCTTCCTTCTCTTCTTCCTTCTCCTCTTTCTTCTCCTCATCCTTCTTCTCTTCTTTCACTTCCTCCACAGCTGTTACAGCAACCTCAGCTGCTGCTTCAGCCTGACCTTCACCTTCAACTTTAATCTCAACCTGGCCTTCACCTTCAGGTTTGACCTCAGCCTCTTCCTTCTTTTCCTCTTCCTTTTCCTTGTTTTTAGCCGGAGTTGCAGCAGCAGCAGGTTCCTCAACAGGTGGCGCTGGTGCGTCAAGAGGTTCGTACCCCTCCATGTGGCAGTAGCCACCACTCACTTCCCACAGCTTCTGGGCCAGTTCTTCATTCTTTGATTCGGCCGATGATTCAGCTTCAGCATGATCACGGTAAAACTTGCCACTCACACCTGAAAATAATAGAAAATACAAAAATCAGCTGACAATATCATAAACATAACACTTATATTCCTTCATCATGTATGAGGGCTGATCAAAATGTTCTAAGCCTTACAAACAAAACCAACAATTGTGAAAGTGTTTTTAATTGTATTTTCAACATAATCTCCCTTGATTTCAATACACTTCCCATATCAATAATGAAGCTTTTCAATTCCAGTTAGGAAGAGTTTTCTGAAACCACCCTGAAAACCCATTTACGGCAACTTTGAGGTAATACGTCTATCTGACAGGATAAGTTTTTCTATCTCCTTGATTGCATTTTCATTGATGGAAGTTGAGGGACGTCATTAAGGCGTGTTCTCCAAGCCTTAAACATAGCTGCCCAATGTTTAACAAGAGGCTGATAGGGCCTGTATCGCTCACCTGGATATTGACGCAATCATGACAAATATACATTTGCATTGTGCGTGTACAAAATACTGCAAATATTTCGTAATTTTGACTTTGTCAGCATTTAAAATGGGTGGATGGCAAATCTGTCAGCATCTCTAGATACAAATGTAGAATAAAGATCTGAACCACTCCCATGTTATGATTCAGGATAAATCATATTAAAGGTATTGTTCTCTTCATAACAAACAAATGTATACAATGTATCTGTTTCTTATAGGTTGGGGATAATATCAGTTTGTTATGGTCAAGGTACCTAGGATGCTTCCAACCAAATAGGGTTGATATCTCGTTTAAAGCAATATAGCCAAATTACCCCTATTTGGCCCCGCCCCTATTTGGCCCCGCCCCTCAGCCCCTTCGGGGTCAGCCCCTCCATTTATACAATTTTGAATCCTCACCACCTAGGGATGCTTCCAGTCAAATTTCGTTCATTTCCAATTAGTGGTTCAGAAGAAGTCGTTTGAATAAATTGTTGACGTACGGACGACGGACGGACGCCACGGTATGGCATAAGCTCACCTTGGTCCTTAGGACCTGATGAGCTAACAATGGAATGGCTAGGGCACTTATCCCCATACACTTGTGACATGCTGTCATGAATTTTTTCGGGAGTACTTTTCTCTGAAGTCAAAAACTGGATGACTGCTTGGTACTTGTTCTTTTCCATTTCTGTGTCCATTTGGACATGTTGGACCCCTACCACGTTCAACTGGCTGTCACTAATACACAAACGGCCTCAACCATTGTCAACAGACCAAACACACTTGCAATGAACTACTCAAACAATGTACTACATTTACTACTTCACTTTGTTATGGCCCATAGTTGAAAGTTAGTCAGGCTTAGAACTTTTTTGACCAGCCCTTGTATCAGTGGGGGACACTAGAATGGGCTTCGTACAATGTGGGGAATCGAACCCGGGCTTACAGTGTGATGAGCAAATGCTTTAACCACTAAGCTACCCCACCGATCCCAAAACTACTAAGAGAAGCTTTGAACAACATACAAATAATTATAATGAAATTGTAGGGGTAAATAGAATTTAGCGTAGTGAGTGAGAAATATCTGAATTTAGTACTGATGTATTGAGTGAAGGAAAGTTCAGGGGAACTGTTCTGTGTATTAATTAGACACTGAAAGATGAAATTCTGACCTTTCAATTTTTCTGATGTAGCAAGTTCAACAATGGCCTTTGCACCCTGGGCTGTCGATCGAGTGACCTTGGTGAAACGCAAGATGCCGTCAAGGACATAGCGTGTGAAGAACCTCATTGGGGCCGATGCATGCCGCCCCAGGTCAGTTGAGGGGATAAACCCTGTAGGAAGAAAACAACAAATTATCAATGAGACCGGGGCCATGAAGATGATCGAACCTGATGGAGGCACACGATAGTCACTCATTGTGGGCACAAAACAAAACAAGCATGAAATACCCATATCCCCCGCCAACATGACATGTCCAGTGGTGTGCAAGGCAAGAAATATTGTACGGTTTTCAAGATCTGCTCCGGAAACAAGCACTACTGACATTTTTAGTCTAAGTAGAAGTCATTGCTATGGAAACTCGAAAATATATTTTTTTTAAATTCCAAACAGTCAAAAGGCATCAGTCTACCTCTAGACCTATCTATGTGGCAAGTTGGTAAAGTATTATTGAACGGTTTTCAGGATCTGCTGCTGAAAGCAGCACAACCGCCATTTTCATTCAAAGTCAAAGTTGTTGCCATGGAAAGTCGAAAAATAATTTCTTAAAAATCGCAAACTATCAAAACGTACCAGTTCGTCACTAGACCTATCTATGTGCCAAGATTGGCTAAGATATCTCATGGTTTTTGAGTTCTGCTCCGGAAACAAAACGTGACGGACGGAAGGACAGAAAGACGAAGCACGGAAGCACCCATTCATATATCCACCTTCCACTTTGTCATGTTTGTTTCAAAGTGTTAAAGACATGACATGGATAATACCTTCTTTCTTGTCGATGACAACATATCAGGCTTACATGCTCCTTCATCAGGTGAACGAAACGTGGTAACAAACACTTAAGACGTTATCTATAAAAGTGATATGTTTTCTAAATGTCAATCAAACACTAGATTGTCAAATTATTGTTGGCCAATCATTCAAACATTCACATTCAAGTGAAGAAAAAAAAGAAATCTGTAATGCCATTTTTTCCTCCACCAAATGCAAACTTACATGTTCAATGTTCATCATAAAAGAAAGTGCATTCAATACATTTGGCTGCAAAACTGGCTAAAAGAAAACTGCACAAATCACGGTGATATATTTGGAAAACAATGAGAGAACACCGAAAAATAACCCAAGAAATGAGCTTTTTTCATTTCTCCCGAAATCTGCCAACCCTTCATTTTAACAAAATTTCTGTAGGCCAAGGGGGTCACAGGTGGCCCTGTCGTCTAAGGTGCCACTATTCACTGTGCAGAGTTGCGTCACTTGGGCACGCCAGAAACCTTTGAATCCCGGTTCGCCCCGATTATGTTTCTAGGTTTGTAGGCACCATACCGTGCTCATGGGTTTCACCAAAGAGGTAACGTCTGAGACCTGCATCACTTCAGGCTTTCCTCCCAGACCGCCATCATAAAGCTGGAATATTGCTGAGTGCGGTGTTAAACAAACAAACAAACAAACAAACATGAACATACCAGGACACAGAGCATTGACAGTGACGCCGGTGCCATCCAGCTTCTTGGTCAGCTCGTAGGTAAACAGCAGGTTGGCCAGCTTGGAGTTCTTGTATGCCAGGTTAGCACTGTATTTCCCTGCCGCGCCAATGAACAAATCTTCAATGTCGAGGCCAGGAAGATCTGCAAGTAACCACATTCGAACATCAAACTATAAGATTTCACAGCTGTTGTCATAGTTCACAAGTGTGCAACAGTGCAGCCATCGTGATTAGATGTTCCCTTTGGAATGTTAGTGTGTCAACAATACTATCAATCCATTGCCATATAGAATCAAGTGCTGGACCAGGTAATCCAGTGACCGACATCATGAACATCAATCTACGCAATTGGGATACGAGTACATGCATCAACCAAGTCAGTGAGCCTGACCACCAGATCCCGTTAGTCGCCTCTTGCAACAAGCATAGTCGCCTTTTACAGCAAGCATGGGTTGCTGAGGACCTATTCTACCCCAGATCTTCACGGGTCGGTATGTTCATGTGTTTAGGCTGATCTGAATATTAGGTCAGACTGTTTGGTTTCTGGGCTTGCAGAGTGAGTGAGTTTGGTGTGACGCCGCTGTGAACATTATTCCAGTTATATAATACTTTCAATCCATTGCCACAAAGAATCAAGTCCTGGACCAGGTAATCCAGTGACCAACATCATCAACATCAATCTACGCAATTGGGATACGAGTACATGCATCAACCAAGTCAGTGAGCCTGACCACCCGATACTGTTAGTCGCCTCCTTCGACAATCATATTATGAGCTCCTTAAGGAACACAACCCTTCACCGCAAAGACTTGATGTGTTTAGTATCATATTCTTAACAAGAATTGGCAGGGTGTTGAAATATCAAAATGTGAACTTGTCCCAAAGACAACTAAAAAGTAAAAATTCACTTTTTCGTAGACAAGTCAACTCGTCCCGATTATCGATCAAACGTTTCTTCTCATACTCTGTCTTTCACTGCCTGTGATTTTACCTTTTGACGTTGATGAATCAGTTTTGGTATTTGTGGCTATTCTTAACACAAACAACGCACTTGTCAATTGCTAGGCTGTAATCTGAGTAACAAATGCAACCTGCCGTGGCTTTTTACAATGTGTCGAACAATTGGATACTATGATCAAGAAAACCACAACCATGGCTGAAAGCATGATCAAAATGAGAACCAGGAAGTAACTTAAACACCTGGGGTTGATTTAACTGCTGGCCCGTTGGCCCGTGGCCAGTTAAAATTGCAAAGGGGTTGCCGAAAATAACGTAAATGGCCCATCTGGCTAGTCAAAATTTCACCCCTTCTCAATGTATGTTGAGTTTTGTTAATAGGACATAACTCATGAATCATGTAATTTGGATGAGAAAATATTCAGGGATGATGAGGTCTTGTGAATGATTAACTCAAAGAAAGATATACAGTGTTCCCTCGCTATTGCGCTCTTCAATATAGCGCTAACTCGGTTAGAGTGCACGGTAAAGCATGACTCCCAAAATTTACTTGCATTTTTAATAAACTCAAGGTTTCCAATGACGCGATGTTTTCCCCATCTCAAGAGACATTAACAGCTGATCACCACAATCACGTAACACCGGAAATACCAGTCAACAAATCCGAACTGAAGTACGCAATTTAATCCCATTATTATACTATCTGATTATAAAAAGGTATTCATTGTTTATTTGGACTTTTGTTTGTAACATATTTTATTAATTTTATTCAAAATTTCATTTAATAATGTTTATCTATACTGTTTTGTTGGTCATCTACCCCCTACGATTCCACCTCGGTTTAACTGCTGATCGTCTATAATGCTCATCAACTATTTGTACCTCAAAGGTAGCGTTGTAGCTAAGGATCACTGTATATGGATCATCTCGGTAGAATGACAACCAACACTTTGTCATGTTGTGTACAACAACATCTCTATTTGCTCATGAATCACAACCGATTGAGGCACTCAGAGTGCAGGAAAAGGCGTTTCAGGGGTGAGGAGTTCTAAACTTTTCAGAGACCCGCTAGGCGACTACACGGCCTCAGGTTCAGCCACTTCGCGGACTCCACCATTTAGTTGTAGGGCAGTTACCCGTGAAGATTCCGGGGAAGAATAGGTCTTCAGCAACCCATGCTTGCCGTAAAAGGTGACAATGCTTGTAAAAGGCGACTAACGGGATCGGGTGGTCAGGCTCGTTGACCTGGTTGATGCATGTCATCGATCCCAATTGCGCCGATCGATGCTCATGATATAAATCACTGGATTGTCTGGTCCAGACTTGATTATTTACAGACCGCCGTCATATAGCTTGAATATTGCTGAGTGCGGCGTTAAACGACAAACCAAAAAGTTTGGAGAAGGGCCAGTAACTTTTAAAAGGACCAAGCCATGCTGGCTATATATAAAATTGTTGTCAAGTCTACCCCTGAAAACACTACTGTCAGTTGGATTGGTCTGACTTGATTACAGTTTTGGAAAGCTATTCATGACATTCTTATCAAAACAGACTACAGTTGTCCACGGACAACTGCACCTGATTTTGTTTGTTTGTCCAGCGATCTCATGTAACGAGTCGGGCAGCCAGGCCCTGATTTCCTACACCCGTTTGGAGACCTTGTACGTAACACAATCTAATGACAAACATGTCACTCTCAAATATTGTTTGATTACTGACTCTTATTGCGGAAGTTCCCATCATGCAGCATTGATGACACCACGACGATCCTGGAGTCTCCCGTGTCGCTGCCTGTCTTCTTCAGGTCGTCCAGCAGCAGGTTCGTCAACAGGAAGTGACCTGAAACACAACACCAATCACATGAATTGAAATATTCCTCGACGACGAAGTAGTTCAAGGCGAATTATGTGATTCTGCGATTGTGAAGGATTTGCTGAAAATGAGCATTTCTGATTAAATGCAATGTTTTTATTCTTACCCGACGTTACACAGCGCATAGGTGTAGCGTCAGGTAAGGTAAAACATGAGCATTTCTGATTAAATGCAGTGTTTTCATACTTACCTGACATTACACCTATAGCACTGTAAAAGGTAAAACATGTAAGTTACTGCAGAAATGCAGAAAAATCACAGAATTGCCCCTTTTTTCAATCAACAAGTAGACTAATATTCTTATTTCCAAGCTTTTCTTCAACATTTTGCACTCAAGTGATGCCCAAACATTTAACATGCGATACAAACAAACAAAATCTGGATCCTACAATAACACAAAATCTGGAACATTTCACTCCAAAAGTTCTTTTAGTGTTATGACTACATATAACCATAAATAAATATCAGTGACATTATGCATATGAGTTGGTATGAGTGAGTGAGTGAGTATGGTTTTACGCCGCTTTTAGCAATATTCCAGCAATATCATGGCAGGGGACGCCAGAAATGGGCTTCACACATTGTACCCATGTCGGGAATCGAACCCGGGTCTTCGGCGTGACGATCGAACGCTTTAACCACTAGGCTACCCGACCGCCCCGAGTTGGTATGAACTTGTGAGGGGGGAATGGTTGTTTTTACCTCTGAATTATGTAAGTTTAGCTGCAGATTTTTGGGTAATTGTACTGCAGAATTCATCTGGGACTGATAAATCTTGGTCCCCACTTCCCCAGGAGAGAATGTCTCATGCAGTGTTCCAGATATGTTTCGAGTCATCATTGCAGTGTTGTTCCTAGCCTCCATCAACCAAGGGTCCTTAGGGGCCCCTGGTGTCAATTAAGTGAGTGAGTGAGTTTGCATTAACGCCACTTTTAACATTATTCCAGTTATATCACGGCGTGTCAGCTTAATGTGGGAGGAAAGCCCGAAGTGATGCAGGTCTCAGACGTTTACCACTTTGGTGAAACCCTCGAGCACGGGTATGGTGCTGACAAACCTAGAAACATAATCGGGGCGAACCGGGATTCGAACCCACAATCATAGGTTTCTGGCGTGCCCAAGGGACACAACTCTGCACAGGGAATTGTGGCGCCTTAGACGACTGGGCCACCCGTGCCCCACGGGGTCAATTAAGGGGGCCTTCTAAAATTTTGGAGGGCCTCATACCTAATGAAGCAAAATTGATGATGATTTTTAAATGCTATGTACTGTCCTTTAATTTTATGGTCTTAATTCAATAAAATATGGTATAAACTGCAATATTTTAAATGTTTTAATGTCTATTTGATTAATCTGTATGCAGCTTCAAATAACGAATTACACTATGCGACTTGAAACAACGCACATTATCATTAATAATTTATGTCTCGAGTCATCATTCTTTTGTTTTGTACCCAACGACGACACAAAAAATGTTTCCATGCGCATTTGTCACTTCTTCGGTTTAGCAGACACCATGCTTGTCACTGCCGGCTATGACACTATCTATTTAGAAACAATAAATCTGATTGGTCGGAAAATAATATTCAGTGCATTCCTGCTGTTGTTAATTGTAAGCTTGCCTACTATTGGTCAAAAATATCACTATAGTAATCTCAAACATTGCGGACACATTTGGTTTAAAAAACATGCTGATGTTTGACTGCAATGTTTACTTATAATACACAACCTTTCGGATTAAAACTACATTGAGGTAAGTGAAGGTGAAAAGCTTAGTGCGCCCAGCCGGACGCGTTGTTGTATTTTAATTGCGTCATTTTAATGTTGCAGGAATCCCGCAAGGCTGCAGTCATGGAACAACATTGTGACATTGTGACTGAGTATTTGCTTACAAGTATCATTCACATTGGGTATTGATAGTTTTCTGACTATAAAAGTCCAGTTTCTACCCTTGCCGAACGAGGCTGGAATTCCTGAGTTACTTTTTGGCGGGGCTAACGAGTCCATAAATAGTAGAATCAAAATAGCAAAACGAACTAGACATCCGGTTCACAAACAATTTCAAATGGCCGTCAACAGATATTTTGCAAATCTTTTCATGTTGTTTAATCAAGCTGCTCATGTCATTTGATGAACTTCGCGGGGTAAACCCTGTTTTATTACAATATAGATCTTGCTTATCGATCAGGTCGTCTTGAGTGGGCCCCGCCATTTTGTTTGAAGCAAATGCAAGTGATATGAGGGATGGAATCTGATTGGTCAATAGGAGGGACATAGAAGGGACATAACTCATTATAGCCACTGGTGGCGCTACGATCGAGCCTGGTAATTCTGATTTCGTCAAGGGTGGTAACTGGACTTTTATTGTCAGTAACCCCCCTTGCCTGAGGAAGATGGTTTTCTTAGGGTACTCCCTTGGGTCCACTCTATTGGGTATTTTTACACCAATGAGTAAGCATTTCAATAAATTGTTAAATGCTGTTTCAGGTGACTTCTAATCTGTTCGTGTGCTGCCCCAAGTGTGTGTAACATGTCGCACAAACACACAACAGCGATATGCAGTTCAAATTAACAATAAGCATGACGTAGCTCTTTAATGCATTCTTTCCTTTGTCGTTTGTTTGTTGTTTGTCGTTTAACTCCGCACTCAGCAATATTCCAGCTATATGACAGTGGTCTGTAAATAATCAAGTCTGGACCAGACAATCCAGTGATTGATATCATGAGCATTGGTCCGCGCAATTGGGGTGAGTGAGTGAGTTAAGTTTTTAAGTCACATCGGCAATATTTCAGCCATATCGTGACTATTAAAGGTTAAAGATTATACATACTTTAAAACGTATAAAAAACCTGCCAACGATGGGCAGTACAATAACTATACTTATCACAGAGAAATATTTAAAACTAGTATGGAATCATAAAATGGATATTACAATACATAACAATATATAACAAGTATTTGTCACAGAGTGACGAAATATCCCCCGCCTGTACACCATAGTACCAAATATGAAGACAATCCAGTGTTTAGTTCTTGAGATATTGTGGCAACACCGTTTTCCAACTCCAAAAACAGATTTGCCTGCTGTGACCTTGAAAATGGGGTCAAGGTCACCAAATCTGACAGGTGTATGCGGTGTCTGTATATACACCATAGTTCCAAATATGAAGACAATCCAGCGATTAGTTCTTGAGATATCGCGGCAACACCGTTTTCTAACTCCAAAAGCAGATTTGCCTGCTGTGACCTTGACAATAGGGTCAAGGTCACCAAAACCGACTGGTGTCTGCGGTGTCTGTATATACACCATAGTTCCAAATATGAAGACAATCCAGTGTTTAGTTCTTGAGATATCGCGGCAACACCTTTTTCCAACTCCAAAAGCAGATTTGCCTGCTGTGACCTTGAAAATGGGATCAAGGTCACCAAAACCGAATGGTGTCTGCGGAGTCTGCATATACACCATAGTTCCAAATATGAAGACAATCCAGTGTTTAGTTCTTGAGATATCGCGGCAAAACCGTTTTCCAACTCTAAAAGCAGATTTGTCTGCTGTGACCTTGAAAATGGGATCAAGGTCACCAAAACCGACTGGTGTCTGCGGAGTCTGTATATACACCATAGTTCCAAATATGAAGACAATCCAGTGTTTAGTTCTTGAGATATCGCGGCAACACCGTTTTCCAACTCTAAAAGCAGATTTGTCTGCTGTGACCTTGAAAATGGGATCAAGGTCACCAAAACCGACTGGTGTCTGCGGAGTCTGTATATACACCATAGTTCCAAATATGAAGACAATCCAGTGTTTAGTTCTTGAGATATCGCGGCAACACCGTTTTCCAACTCCAAAAGCAGATATGCCTGCTGTGACCTTGAAAATGGGGTCAAGGTCACCAAAACCGACTGGTGTCTGCGGAGTCTGTATATACACCATAGTTCCAAATATGTAGACAATCCAGTGTTTAGTTCTTGAGATATCGCGGCAACAAACAGGTGGGACGTACGGACGGACGTACAGACGTACGGACGGTCGTGAATACTATATCCCCCGCTTCGCGCTTTCGCGCGGCGGGGGATAATAAAAATAGGCTATTGATCTTTAACAACTGAAGGTAGATCACAATACTGGAGACCATGGGGACTTACAGTACTTTTGCTACCTGCATGGACCCCAGCTGGATCCGCGCAATTTGGATACAATGACATGCATCAATAAATTCGGCGAACCTGACCACCCGATCCCGTTAGTCGCCTCTTACGACAAGTATAGTCGCCTTTTAAGACAAGCATGGGCTGCTGAGGACCTATTCTACCCGGGATTGTGACTTATCTGAAATATCTGACACAAATACGCAGCATATCTGAGCTCTGTTCATGTGACAAATCCATTGGCTGTAAAAATTGTTTAACGCCCCACTCAGCAATATTCCAGCTATATGGCAACGGCCTGTAATTTAAACCAGTGTGGACCAGACAACCCAGTGATTGACGTGATGAGCAACATGCCACGCAATCAAACTGGATGACACACAATAACCATGCCACAATGTCTGACCACATGATCCACCATGTCACTTGTCGCTTCCTGCAACAAGTATAGTTTGTGGGACACATGTACCTAACTGGGAATCAACACAGGTGTAACATACTTTCTAGTTAAGCAGAATACACAAGCAGGGATTTATCCAGGATCCCTGTCAGGCAAGGCAGGTAACATTTCAGAGGCCTTTGAACATAGTTTTTTAACATTGCATTCAGGGCAATAACGGAACACTTAGGGGTGAAAGAAACAAGCAACTTTGACAAAAAGTGGCGACAAGAATGCAGCGTTAGAAACTGGCATTAGTCCTGTTGTCCTAGCCAAACTGTCCAATAGCTAAGGTATCATAAGGACTAGTAGAGATTGGCTGTTTTTGAGGGTTTTGTTATATGTTATCATTATAAGGACTAGTAGAGTAAAACTGTTAGTTTCTACCGCTGGAATGGTCTGTTGATCTGTTTGATTTCTTATTTACTAATCAGACCCGCGAAGATCCGGGGTGGAGTAGGTCTTCAGCAACCCATGCTTGCCGTAAAAGGCGACTATTCTTGTGGCAAGAGGAGATTAACGGGATCGGGTGGTCAGGCTCGCTGACTTGGTTGATGCATGTCATCGATCCCAATTGCGTGGATCGATGCTCATGATATTGATCACTCGACTGTCCGGTCCATACTTGATTATATACAGACTGCCGTCATATAGCTGAAATATTGCTAAGTGTGGCGTTAAACAACAAACAGACCAAAATATATACTAAACAACAACAAACAAATCAAACTGTAATCAACGGTATTTGTAAGAGAAGGCATGTCAAATTATTCTTAAGAGACAGACTACGGCCAAATATCAGCCTCTCAGAAGGTCTAGATAAATCCCAGGCAAGAGTCAATTAATTCATAAGATGTTCGTACCCAAGTGGTTTGTTCCCATGGCAAGTTCAAAGTTGTCCTTTGTGAAGTGTCGCTTGTTGTCCTTAGCCCACAAGTAGATGCCAGCATTGTTGACAAGGCCATGGAGCTTGCGTCCTGATTGGTGGAACTCTTCCGCAAACTGCCGCACAGAGGACAGCTCGGCCAGATCCAACTGCAAAACACTCACGGTATTCCAACTCTGATTTTCTCTGAACGTGTGCAATATTATCACTGATACCAGTAAAACTAAGCAAAGCATGCCACACTTTGTCAACAAGGGACCATTTCATTTAACACCCTACCCCCACTAATAAAGAGACCGGACTCTAAGAAAGAACCTGTCATGTCAGACCCTGATTCTGCAACTAGACTGACGTAGCATTTCCAGGGTTCGAAATTAAAAAGTTTAACATTTAGGGGTCCCCTATAAGTCCCAACTGTATTCCATGATTCCGTGGTCCTGGTCAGTGCAAAAATGTACCCATCTTGCAGAAAATCACACTTTATGCAGAACTCATGCAGAATTTTGCAGTTATCTGCTGCAGAATTCGTCAAATAGACTGCAGAATTTTAACATGGTTAAAGCTGGTTAAGCTGGTTTTTAACATGTAAAACAGATATTAGGTTCATTTTTGTATTATTGCTTACCACAAGACAATGTCTATGTTTTCACTAGTAATCTCAAGATTCACTTCAATAAGCTATTCACGCCATGGATAAGTTTATCACAAAAAAGCCTTCCAAAAGTCAAACAGGTGCAAAACTATGAAATTCACCAAAATTAACATTTTGCAGAATTATCAAAATCTGGTTGCAGAATTTACAAAAAATTGATAGTATAATTTTGATCTTTCGGCCACCGAATACAAGACAGAAGATTCTAGTTGTTCTGACCATAACCAGTGCTTCAGATAAGCTGCGTATCTGCGTAAAATATGCATCAGATATGCAGAAATATGCAGTGAAATAAAATTCAAGCGTATCAAACACGCAACGAACATTACAGATACACTACAAAAATTAAAACTTGTGCACATCATCAAAATATTGTGAAGTAACCCTGCGTATTCGATTAGCAAATCAGCAAATTATTTTGAAATTATATACGGACATTCCGTCAACCTTGCCAAACTCCACGATGACAGTTACATCATGATCATTTGCCATCACACTTTCTTGTGGAAGTATCGCGGTATTTTTGAGTCCTATAAAGCTCTCGAACCCACACGACACCAGTTTGCAGGGACTAGATGAATAGTGGTTTTAAATATTTAACTTAAATACCCACATGTGTAAAATCTAGTGGGTAACAGAAATTTGAATACCCAGATAGAATTACTGATACCCAATGATTTTAAAATGCATGGGTAAAATACCCACAACAGCAAAAGCTTATCTGGAGCTCTGCATAACATTGTCTTACCTGCATGAAGCTAGCCAGAGCATTGGGGTTAGCTTTGAGAATCTTTCCCACGGCTGCTTTCCCCTTTTCTTCATTTCTACAGGCCAGTATCACCTCGTTTCCCCCATCACACAAGTACTTGGCGGCCTCAAACCCAATCCCGGAGTTGGCCCCAGTCACTATGATAACACGCCCAGTCATCGTGGGTTCTGTGTCGGCACTGAAACAACCATCAACATTGCACAAGTTTCTATTTCCAGGATCAGGCTATTCAGCTGTGGTCAATGTCGTTCTAATAATATAAATGTCCTCAACAGCAACCCTGATAACAATCCTGAAACAAGCTGATTATCCAGATTACAATAAGTTGTACCGTGTTGTATGGTGAGAGTGACTTGGTTGAAGCATGTTGTTGTATCCCAAATGAGTGGGTCGATGCTCATGATATCAATCACTGGATTGTCTGGTCGAGACTCGATTATTTACAGACCGCCGTCATACAGCTGGAATATTGCTGAGTGCGGCATAAAACAACAAACCAAAACCAAACCAGACAATTAGAAATTTTCCCTTTTTCTGGGTTTTCTTTTATAAATACTACCATTATAAGGACAAGTGGACTAAAACTGTTCGTATCTATCACTGTCTTATGATAAATATTATTTGATTGAGATCACCTATACCAGGAAGATTTTAATTTTTGTCAGTACTGAAAAACCCTGAGGAAAAACACTAACTTTTGTATTTTCCCAGCACATTGACCCATGGAAATTGTATCGAAATACATATTATTGAATGGTTTTGGCGTGACTTACAAAATGGATTCACAATACTTTCAAGGGATCTTTACAAGCATGATGAGGGTCTTTTAAAGTAATGAAATGATGTAGTGTACTGTAGGTTTAAATCTGATCATTATTTTCATTACAGAACCTTTATATTTCTTGTCAAGAATTTGGCACAACATGTACAATGAACATTACTATGCGTCCCTTGCATTCATTCTATGCATATGTACGTACTGGACACACATTTCTGTGTCGTGTAAAACCTTGTTATTGTTTCACGGTTTACTGAAATACTGTGCAGCCTTTAGAATATAGTTACCTCCATTTAAAACATGGCGGCCCGAACTTTGATTCTTTAGTCTTTAGCAGGATTAGAGATTACCTGGCTCTTGATACCATGACATGATGTAAACTATGCGATAGCTTGTCGACTTCTTGAATTATATAGGCCTAATCATACATACTCACTCACATACTCAAATTATGTACTGTTTCTTTCAATGGCCAGCTGTCTAGAGGATGAATGCAGTTAGGCATGTACAAGGAAGACTAGAAACAGTTTCAACCATTTGTATATTCATCATAAGATACTTATCACGAGGAAATAACAACAGGAAAAAGACAGGAGTTACAGTAGGCCTAATTAAATGCATGACATGTCTTCACTAAATGACAACAATTTCTAGATAGAATTTATACTTTCAGAGAGTGGGAGTGTAGGAAATGAATTATCTGATGTGAATACACATTTTCTGGGTTGTTTGATAACGAACTATGATATCCCTGCATGTAATTATTATGTAAACAAATACAGTAGGCCTAGGGTCCTACTGGTTCACGAGGTGCTAAAATATGATGAAAGGGCAGTAATTTACCTAAATCAAAATAATAAGCAGCCATTCCAATCAAACAGATTAATCCAGCTCTGCTGTTCGTGATAACGAATCTGCGATACACCCCTATCCCCTTGTCTCAAAATAATATTTTGTAAAGTCAGCTGCGGCAGGATAATTAGCTTGATCTAAAAATAGATCTCTCCGCATCAAGAAATGCAGAGCTTGTCATAAGCACCAGATTAAAAGGCTGATGAGAAGTAGTTACATCGCCTTCGATTAATTCAATAGAAAGAAGTATTTATTTGACATGTAAACAAACAACCACTTGTGCCCGGTCGTACGGTGCGGCTTACTTCGCAGTCTGAATGAGTGGATCATAACAGTGGCAAGAAATCTTTGTAACACCTATTGCACCTGCATACAATGCAACCTGCAGCCTCTGGGAATTAAATAGGATAATAATGTATTGTCGTTCAAGAATACAATATAAAAAACTCACCTAAATTTGCTTTAACGTGTCGAAAAGTGTGACAGTAAACGTGCAAAATGCCTCTTTCCCGCCCGATGACCGTAAATATTGTTGAGAGGTCAAGGCCGTAGAACTTCCATGCCCGAACGAGGCTTTACAACACAGTTACCTCCCTTTGATTGCTGGGGGACTGCATGGTTCCAACATGGATACGTGTTGGCAAGGCACAGTAATTTTAATAATCATTCATGTATTTTTTTTTAATTGCCTACTCACTAATTGCACAAATCGATCTTAGTTATGCAGTGATCGTAAGTCGGCCTTAGTACTAAGGTCGTTCTGCGTGAACTGGGGGACTGCCTCGTTCCAACATGGATACTGTTGGCATGACACAGTGATTTTAATAATGTATTATTTTTTATTTGCCTACTCACTGATTGCACAAGTCGATCTTTTTTATGCAGTGATCATAAGTCTGCCTTAGTACTAAGGTCGTTCTGCGTGGACTGCATTAGCGAATCTCACTGATTGTAAAAATTATTGTAAGAATTGTAAAAACAGTGAGTAAGTGAGATTGGTTAACAGAATTCCAGTTATATCGCGGCGTGTCAGCTTAATGTGGGAGGATAAGAACGAAGTGATGCAGGTCTCAGACGTTTACCACTTCGTTGAAACCCACGAACACGGTTTTGGTGCTGACAAACCTAGAAACATAATCGGGGCGAACCGGGATTAAACCCACAATCATAGGTTTCTGGCGTGCCCAAGGGACGCAACTCTGCACAGCGAATCGCAGCGTCTTAGACGACAGGGCCACCCGTGGCCCCTTATATAAACAGACACATATTTGATATCAAACAATCTCGCAAACAAGCCTAAAGAATATAATATTCCTAAGGAAATTTGTCTGTTAAAACATTTCAGCATAGAAAAATGATGGCCTTATATTTGGCAAATAGATATGTTCGTGGGCATTTACGAAGAATAAATCAACAATCACTTTTTGTCTTTACAGAGCACGTACACATGGGATGATTGTTTCGAGTGAGGGGGGTTGTTTGTTTGTTTGTTTGTTTGTTTGTTTAACGCAGCACTCAGCCATATATTCCAGCTATATGACGGCGGTCTCTAAATAATCGGGCCGGGACCAGACAATCCAGTGGTCGACATCATGAGCATCGACCCACGCGATCGGAATACAATGACATGCATCAACCAAGTCAGCGAGCTTGACCACCCGATCCCGTTCTTACGAAAAGCATAGTCGCCTTTTAAAGCAAGCATGGGTTGCTGAGGACCTATTCTACCCCGGATCTTCACGGGAGTGAGGGGGTATTGAATATATATATATATATATATATATATATATATATATATATATATATATATATATATCTATATATATATCTATATCTATATATATATCTATATATGTATATACTAGTTTTTTTCCGCGTTTAGCAGTATTTCAGCACCATCACGGCAACAGGGAGGATTTTGTCAAATATAGTCATATAGTCGTTAGGATATCAAAAATATGTATTTAAGAATATAACATCCTGCGATGATCATATAATATATGACACGAACGTTGTGACTTTCCTCGTGACTGTGATTGCTGTGTTTGTGGTGAGACTGTTTTAAGCACAGTGCGACATCTGTGTATCCGGTGTGTGTCACGCGTTAATGTCACGATCTAATGGCACGATCTCAAGAGGATGTAACGTGTAGGTTCATCGTGGCGGGAGCATTTTTATGATTACAGCAGGAAATAATATAGAGAGATGTTTGACTGAACAAGCACTATATATACATGTATATACTGAACAAAAACAGTTAGGGATCATTAATATTTTAAAAATTATTTTCATCAAATTTTGTGCTCAGCCTTCACTGCAACAATATCCCCACACATATTCATGACCCCCAACTTTGTTCAGTATACAACGAGATAAAAACAAGCTCATTAGAATCAGATCCTATTTCTCGCTAACGCTAAATACAGTGGTAGCGAGAAGTAAGACTTCATTTTAATGAAACTGATAGAAACACAGAGTCACACTGACTGTTTTAGGGGAGTCCACATGGCCTGGCTTCCCCGAATCTCCTCTCTCCTTAGCCTATTCTTATTACGTCCCTTGGGCACGCCAGAAACCTATGATTGTGGGTTCGAATCCCGGTTCGCCCTGATTATGTTTCTAGGTTTGTCAGCACCATACCCGTGCTCGTGGGTTTCACCGAAGTGGTAAACGTCTGAGACCTGCATCACTTCGGGCTTTCCTCCCACATTAAGCTGACACGCCGTGATACAACTGGAATACTGTTAAAAGCGTCGTTAAACCCAACTCACTCACTTACTCATAAATGTTTAATTCCTTCTTTTGGGAAACCCACTATCACTACCAGATGCTGACATGTGTCATCAGTTTGAATCTGGGATTCGAACCACCGATCAGCGGATCCTGGTACATTTCCGGCTGCTTCGACACACGTCGTAATAAAACATTTATATAACTTTTCGACGTATGGTTTTAATGCATGTTAATGCATGCGACTTTAGCCACTGTTCGGATTACTAAGCTCAGCTAATAATGGTTTATGCAATGACACTAAATTCAAATGAAATCAAGCTAAGAATCATATTTGAGCTGCTATGCTCAAACGTTTTTGGAACAGACTTTAAAATCATATTATACAAGTCAATCGAGATACAAGAATACATACATGTACATAAGTTTCAACGTGTAAATCAGCAATAGCGGAAAGTTTTTTTTATGATGCAGTGAACCCTTGTTAGTCCGGATATCCCGCAATCTGGACACATAGTTTTGGCAGATTCCATACATGGACAAACAAAAGGACACTATTCCAAAACCGAATAATTAATATCAATAATATGTTAATCGGGACTATTTTACGAGGTTCACCAACGTGTACGGATTATATATATATATATCACTGCATATTATATAACAACTATCAATGCATAGAGGGTGACATGCTTGCCGTAAAAGGTGACTATGCTTGTCGTAAAAGGCGACTAACGGGATCGGGTGGTCAGGCTCGCTGACTTAGTTGATGCATGAAATCGATCCCAATTGCGTGGATCGTTGCTCATGATATTAATCACTGGATTGTCTGGTCCAGACTCGATTATTTACAGACCGCCGTCATATAGCTGGAATATTGCTGAGTGCAGCGTTAAACAACAAACCAACCAACCAACCAACCAAGCATAGAGGGTGTATGTATGTATATATTCCGCAAACACCAACATGTCTATTGTAAAAGCTACAACATACACCTAAAGAACTGCCAGACAGTAAATTGAAACGTCGAAATGCTACCCAGTTTCAGTCTACCCCCAAGCCACGTCATTAATGAACCAATGACCCCACCCTCCCTTGTCGCCCATCTTACCTTTCTCCATCCATATTTGACATCGTGAGGCCCAGCAGCAACAGTTAGAAAACTCTATCCCGTCAGAATGTCACCACCCGTCCATCCACATGTAAATGAATCCGATGCCTGTCCAGCCCGCGATCACTGCTCGAGTCCTGTCTGTGGACACATATTTGACATTCACGACAGGTAGTATTCAGCGTTAAGTAGGGCAACAACAGACAGCCTTACCTGAGGTCTATTTGGTTTGTTGGCCCGCTCGTACTGAGTTATATATGCCACGTCTGATAGATTGCATTAGCCCGCGCCCTTGAGGAGTGCGGTATAGTTGTGAGGTTGGATTTAATGCAGCTTATTTGTGCATTTTGTTTTCATGACGTATGTTAGAAGCATATGGTGTAGATTTCGATAATGCTTATCCTTATCAAAACTGTACATAACTAAGTACAAGCGCTACTGAACAGTTATATAGATAATAGGTGAGGTGAGGTGAAATTGGGTTTAACGTCGCGTTCAAGATTATTGCACTTATGTAAAGACGTGCATGCACGTGTGTGTGTGTGTGTGTGTGGCTGTTTGTACTGGTGCGGACTAATGTCGATTTTATAGTGCTAGCCCACTGAGATACCATGCCGCAGTTTAACATGAATACCCCACTGAAACACAGTGTGACTCCGAGCCGACCAGTCCTTGTTTTAGTTCCTCAATGCCGAGCGCCAGACCGGATAACAACAGGTGCCATCGTTTAGCGTTTTTTGGTATGACGCAGACGGGGATCGAACCCCCGACCTTTCGTGGACGCTCTACCACTCGACCACGGAGGAGGTCTGGATATTAGGCGCTACATAGATAAATAACATATCCACATCCTAAAACAGGTGCTACACGGGCGGTGGGGTGACCCCGAGGTTATGAGTTCGCTCGTCAAGGCGAAGACCCGGGTTCGATTCCCGACATGGGTAAAATGTGTGAAACCAATTGCTGGTGTCCCCCGCCGTGATATTGCAGGAATATTGCTAAAAGCGGCGTAAAACCGTACTCACTCACTGAAAGCGGCACATTATTACCCCGGTCTGTGTATACTCGATATTCTCCCTGGGGAGTATACAGTGTATGTATGCTCAGATCGCTCTACAGTAACATCTTTTGTAGATTGGTTGCAACAAATACATTCAAATAATATCATCGTTTGGGAAATGAATGTTGAACAGTATGGATACCTTAAATAGTCTTATTTCTTGTTTAAAGCCGCAATATTGCAGCTATATTGATTTCAATACATGTTTCTTTCCCGTTTATGGAGGCCTAAATGTGAAATGAGGTAGGCACACACGCGAATTTACACACAGACTGCTTTTTACGTGTGTACCTCCATGAACGCAAAAAATAATGAAGTCAGTTCTTAAATATTTGCTGTTTGGGGATGGAAACGGATGGTCTACGACAATGGACCTTAAAACTTGTCCAAGTCTCTAAGGCAAAAATTATTAATTTTAATCATAATTTCCAAGATTATATAACTAATAAGAACGAGTTGTCCCTATAAGAGACTGACGCCCTTGTACTGTCCGCTTTTATTGACTTGCCTACTATATGGAGAGAATTACTATATATCCATGGACTTATCATTCAGTATACAGCCTTGGAGCAAGGCTATGGGACGTGAACTAAATGATAAGAATAGGCTTAGGGGAGAGAAGAGTCGGGGGAAGCCAGGCCAAGTGGACTCCCCTAAAACAGTCAGTGGGACCACTGTATTTAGCGTTAGCGAGAAATAAGATCTGATTTTAATGAGCTTGTTTTTATCTCGTTGTATACTGAACAAAGTTGGGGGTCATGAATATTTGTGGGGATATTGTTGCAGTGAAGGCTGAGCACAAACTTTGATGAAAATATTAAAAAATATATTAATGATCCCTAACCTTTTGGTTCAGTATATACACGTATATATAGTGCTTGTTCAGTCAAACATGGCCAGTGACCGTTCCAGTGCATGCGTTCATATGATGTATATTGCATCTGTTCATCGCATTACATATTGATAAGTACTAGTGTTATTAAACGCTGACAGGCTCAAATTGATTAATATTTTGTCAACAAATGCGGGATATCGAACGGAACTTGTGCACCTGAGTTTAAAGTATCGGTTTGTCATTTGATATTTGTTATCACATGCATGTACAGGGGCACATCTGTTAGGTCGGCTTTGTGTTTTAAATGACGCTTTGTTCGGAAAGCCATAAATGTAAACAAAAGTTCACTCGGAGTATGTAAACATCATTTAATGCTCTAATGAGCGAGTGAGTATGGTTTTACGCCGCTTATAGCAATATTCCAGCAATATCACTACGGGGGACACCAGAAATTGGCTTCACACATTGTACCCATGTCGGGAATCGAACCTGGGTCTTCTGCGTGACGAGCTAACGCTTTAACCACTAGGCTACCCGACCGCCCTGCTACAATGAAACTTCGTTATTCCGGCCCAAACTCCCTGCACCGATGATTTGTTAATTCGGACATTTTTGCCCGACGATTTCACTGCCAACGGAGCCAGGGGCGTTTGGGTAGCCTTGTTGATAAAGCGTTCGCTCGTCACGCCGAAGGCCCTGTTTCTATTTCCAAAAATGGGTACAATGTGTGAAGCCCATTTCTGGTCTCCCCTCCGTGATATTGCTGGAATATTGCTCGAAGCGTCGTAAAACTACTCACTCTCTCACTCACTCACTCACTCAAAGCGCAACATTATTATCCCGGTCAGTGGATCTGTGTATACTCGATTTTTATTCTCAGCTCCCTGGGGAGTATACAGTGTATCATCATCATCATCATCATCATCATCATCATCATTTACCACCGCGACCACAACAAATACCATCAACACCGCCACTTTGGTATTTGAAGCAAGTTATGGCAAACATAAGTAGCACATGTACACACCCGTAAGCAATTCTGGGTAAGAATATAGGACCCAGGCGTATTGCACTACAGAGTGTCTCTTCCACGTTCGACCTGTCAATAGTGTTTTAGGCGGCTTAAAGACTCTAGGTTGACTTACGATGTTCATAATGTCAATCACTGGATTGTCTGGTACAAACTCGATTATGAACGACCCCCGGAGTCTTGCTGGAGTGAGGCGTAAACAACAACAACAACAACAACAACAACAAAGCACATATATTTGTGTTTCGAGGTCGCCAGGTCTCACCTTTTCGCGAACACGTGACATCATCACTATGTGACTGTGGTTCATAAACACACGCCCATGATGTAGTCGGAATCGTACTTTCGACTCTGCTCTTGGCATAGCGTTCTTATGAATATGTAAAGGGTTTTGTCGGGCTTTTGTTAACTTGACGGTTTAGTGTAACCAATTTCCTTAATTTATAGTACATCAACCTGCCAGTGTTTAGTTTCGTTTTCAGTTTTGTATATATTTTGTCAAGATAAATGAATATTTCAAGGAAACAAGCGATGTGTCAGCGGTTAAATGAACGAGATGAAAAATATGTTTATGTAGTAATATAATATGTTTAGTGAGTGAGTGAGTTATAATTTTACGTCACATCGGCAATATGTCAGCCATATAGTGACGAGAACATTCATAATATTTAAACTCAGACGAATACAACCTCTCATCGACGGACAGTATAGTAACTAGACTATCACGGTTTAGAAGTAAAACTAGTTGCGAACAATTAGAAGAATAATCTATGATTCGACATTACATTATAAAGACGGGCTGTAGATCGCCAGCAACCAAAGTTAGGCCACCATGCTTGGTACCATGGGGACTTACGGTACTTCTGCTACCTCCATGGGACCCCAGTAGCATTTACACCATCGCTTCAGCTGCTGGTGATTGTCAAGTTTAGCAACTAATAAAAATTTACAAATATTCTGCGATTACAAATTACGAATAACAAACGAATGATTTGGTCTTATGATACCTTCTCAGGAGGACAATAATTTTACGCTACATCAACCCCCTTCGAGGGCACAGCAATCTAACCAAACAATCTAGGTTAATAATTATACACTACCATTTCGTAAAAAATAACCATGTACATCAAAATTTACCAATTAATTATACATGCACTTCTTTTAAAAAACGTATTATTAAATGAGAACTTAGATTAAAAAAATCCTTTATGAATGAAACTTTGAAATATTGATCCCTTGTAATGGCAAAATCAATACAGTCAAGCAGTACGTGCTTGACTGTGATTTCTTTCATCACAAGAGATACAAAACGGAGGATCCTCACCTATTAATAAATATTCATTTGTGTATCTTGAATGGCCAATACGACAACCCAAGTAGGTGTAACCAAAAGTTGCCTTAATTTGATGTAATTTATTGATACTCACTTGGGTGTCCCACTTCTTTTGCATAAGATCTCTGATGTAACATCTGATCACAGGTTTATAATCACTGTATGGAATTAGAAGTGGTGTCACAGATTTGTTGAGTGCTGCTTTAGCAGCAGCAGCAGCCATTGTGTTACCTCTTATACCCACGTGACTGGGCAATCAACAAAAGACGATGTCGTATTGGCGAGTTGAAAGATCATTATAAAGTTCTAAATTGTTTACAATAATTGGATGATTAGAAGAGACGTTTTTTCAGTGCCTGAAGACAAGACAGAGAATCAGAAAAGATGAATATTGTGTATATGCAGACTGTTTTTGAATGTATACCAAGGCTGACAGGATAGCATTGGCCTCAGCAGTGAATATAGAGCTAGTGTCTGGTATTCTAGATATATGTTTTGATCAAATGACAGTGGCACGTGCTACTTTGCTACTGTCCTTGGATCCATCAGTAAAGATTGAACGGTGTGTGTCGTATGTATTTCCTTAATGTAAATATTCCTGTTGATATACTCGTTGATTGGTGTCAGATTTTATAAAACGTGTGGGGGAAATGTCTACTTCCGTCCTCACCAACTGCCAGGGAGGAGAAGACAAGAGTCGGTAAGGAAAGATGATCCAGATCTAGATTTGCAGCATTAATATGAGATTTGAGCCGATTTCCAAGTGGAGGAACCAGCTTTGGTTTCTTCTGAAACAGTTCTTCAAAGAGGGGATTGAAAACGGAGTCATAAGCAGGGTTGGAGGGATTGGAACGTAATTAGTAATATACTATGGAGACAATACGGCGTTGTTTTAAAGAGGGTTCATCAGCCAATTGACTTTTACTTTGTAAAGTTGCCCCGTGGGGTGCCGAGGTAGAATGTACCCCCAGCACCCCACTGGAAGTAAAAAGCGATCGAATCGGGTACCCCGTGAAGATCCGGGTTAAAATTGATCTTCAGCAAACCTTTTGGCTGATGCACATAATCGTTTCCCAATTACGTGGATCGATGCTCATGATATCAATCACTGGGTTGTCTGGTCCAGACTCAATTATTTACAGACCACCGTCGTATAGTTAGAATATGTTGAGTGCGGCGTTAAACAAACAAACAAACAAACAAACAAATCACACCGATTATGTTTCTAAGTCTGTCAGTACCACACCCCTGCTCGTGGGCTTCCCCAAAGTGGTAAACATCTGAGGCTTGCATCACTTTGGGCTTTCCTCACACACTCCATGACATAACTGGAATATACTGTTAACAGCGGTGTAGCTTGCACACGGAAAGCCATATATCGTGGAAACTTTTGAAAAGGGAATATCAATGTCCTAATGACATTGTTTCGATGCTCTAAACACAATGTTTCGATGTTCTAATCACATTGTTTCCATTTTCTAAGCACAATGTTTCGATGTTATAAATACATTGTTTCGATATCCTAATCACTTTGTTTCGATGTTCTAATAACACTGTTTCGATGGCCAAATAGATAAGATCTATGCAGAAGTAAGCAATAAAGAAAAAAAACACCTCTACGTACAACAATTTCTCCACACGGAAATGCAACATTTCAGCGGGCAAGAACTGCCCAAATGAGGATTTTACTCGCGCTTCCACCAACTTGAACGAAAACTCCAATCGAGGTTACTTCCGCACTCGAGGACGCCGTTGTGTTGTTGTAGAACCAGCATTACACACTACGATTGAACGATGCCACGCAAACGCAAAAGTTCTCGTCCATTGGCAGGTCAACCGAAGGCAAAGAAGCGTGCTAAAGGGAAAGGTGCTAAGACCAAAACAAGCGCGGAAGATAAAAAAGGTATTGCACGATGCTGCCATGATATTGAATTGATTGCAAGTGAAATGTCGAGTGGTCGATGGTTCAGATTGCTTGTAACAAGTCGTGACAAGACCTACGTATATATCGATATTATTTGTTAAATTATGCTCGTTTCGTGATCAAAATGGATGTGTGGTTGCATTCGAATAACACATTTAAATTTAAGAAAATGTGGAACAAGAACGCTCTACCGTATTTTTCATAATAAGCAGTCCTTTTTCGCGTGTTATTTTTTCCACTTCTAGACAAGGGATTTTACAAAGCTGATGGTGAACTGAGTCATGTAGCCTTTGTATGATCTGTGTTGGATAGGAATGTAGATGGACGTTGATTCATCAAGACCCGTGAAGATGCAGGGCCATGCTTGCCGTAAAAGGCGACTATGTTTATCGTAAGAGGCGACTAACGGGATTGGGTGGTCAGGCTCGCTGACTTGGTTGATGTATGTCATCGATCCCAATTGCGTGGATCGATTCTCATGATGTCAATCACTTGATTGTCTGGTCCTGACTCGATTATTTAGAGACCAGCGTCATATAAATGGAATATTCTTGAGTGCAGTGTTAAACAACAAATAAAAAAACCAACAAACATTATGGATCAGGAGGAGTCAGAATGGTTTGAATCTCATTGTGGGATTTGGAAATTGTATGGTACTTACATTGGCACACATTGTGTTTCTGAGGACTTTCACATCAAATTTGAACAAAATAAATTGCAATATATCCTATTATGGGGCCTGTCGTTCCCTGTTGATGTGGAGTATAATTAATACCAGGGCACCGTTCCGCAAAGTGATCTTAGCGCTACGACTATGACTATCGTAAGCTAGTATTAAAGTATAGGAGTTACAATCACCTTAGCGCTAAGATAGTTTTGTGGAACGGGCCCAGAGGATGGAGTCATTCCACAGATGACATCCTCACTTTATCAGCCAGGGCTTCGTTCCTCAAAGCGATCTAAGCACTAAGATGATCCCATACTTTAACATAGGTTTACGATCATCGTAGCGCTAAGATGGCTTTGAGGAACTTGGCCCTGGTGACAGGTTTAACCTCTAAGGTCATGTGGAAAAGGCATCTGACCTCAGATCAGAAAGTCCATGGTTTAGATCCCATCACAGGACTTGGAGCAATTAGACTCATTATCAGTAGGCATTGAGTCTTTAATGAAATTAATAATAATTATGATGTGTGTAGGCCTACTTGTATTGCGCCTCTCCTTACACACAGAATTTGCACAAAGTGCTAACATTATTACTCCAGTGAAAAGAACAGTGTGCACTCGATTTTCATTCTCAGCTTTCTGGGGAGTATACACCTCTGCCTTGTCAGGTGCTAGAAGGTTAACACTCACATTAGCATCTCATCCTACCGGGTACCCATTTTTACTGCTGTGAACAGATGCATATTTTGAACAAAGTCACAAGGACACACCACACTCCAGACTAGTACAAGCAGGCACAGACACAGACACAGATTCTGCATGACCTGTCCCTTATCACTTTGTTGTGAGCGTCCTCGCTCTTCATGATAACAAAACTAAGTCATGAATGGAATGTCAACCCCAGCCTAGTACACAAGCAGCACATCTTCCCGAGGCAAGGTTGTTAACTGACTATAAAAGTCCAGTTTCCACCCTTGCCTAACTAGGCTGGCATTTCCAGGCTCAGTCATAGCACCACCAGTGGCTATTTCCCTTTTATGTGCCTCCTATTGACCAATCAGATTCCATCTCTCATATCACTTGCATCTGCTTCAAACAAAATGGCTTTGAAATCCATGTTGTTTAAGAACCAAATGACTACTTCATTTCGTGATTTTGATTGGACTATGCATAGACTTGTTTGTCCAGCCAAAATGTAATTCCAGAATTCCAGCCTAGTTTGGCCAGCGTGGAACTGGACTTAACAGTGAGTTAACTCCCTTGCCTCGGGCAGATGCATGCTCCTTCCCAGTTAGTGACACCTTCGTTACACTCTTGGTAAAATCGCTGCCACCAGTGTGGGCGTGGCCATTGCAGGAATCTTGAAATTTGTCCTCTAATCCCAAGTGTAGTCACGTTCATATTTTTGTATATGTGTTTGGGAGAGCCATCATAGTTCGTTTTGAAAAGGTTTACGTCTGACAATGTTTTTCAGATGAATTTAATTTGTTGTTTGTATAATTAGATGGGTTCGAGATTGCAGACTAACGGAAAATCGACCAACTTCTCCCTTACATTCTTAGTATATCAATTACATGATAGTTTCAATGAAATAGAAATTCAAATTGACAAACAAAGAAAGTAATTTAGCAGGGGTAAGTGTATTCGGCATCACAACAGTCGTCACTTGTTTGTAAACATAACGGTCAATCAGCTGCATGTTCAACTCCAAGCATGGTTGTGGTCATATATTATTGCGGGGAGTTTTGACTGGTGGCAGCAATAGTATAGAGAGCTTGGGGCCGATGCTGGACCTTTACAGTTACTTAGCTCCTTTGCCTCGGGTGATGGAGGCAGGATAGAAAGTAGGGTCCATTATTTTGAGCTGGTGTTAAGATTTTATTGCTAAAACTCAGTTTAAAGTGCTGAACATGACCTGCTTGTGTGCTATTGTTGATGGCCAGAATTGGTCCTTGAACACAAATGTTCTTCCTTGAAAAGTGCTTGACATTGGGTCCAAAGATCTGTAAGAACCCTGCAACAGTTAACCCTGAACTCATGCATCCTTGAATGCACATTTTAGTATTTAAGTTATATAGACAGGGTTATTAATTCATTTTTCATTTTCACTTGTCCTCAAAAGTGATCTTCTACCAGGTGACTAATAGGATCGATGCTCATGAGACCAGTCACTGGTCTGTCTGGTCCAGGCTCGATTATTTACAGACTGCAGTCATATAGCTGGAATATTGCTGAGTACGGCATTTTATCAACAAGCAAACAAAACAAACCAGTCTTGGACTCTTGGACTTGAACACTGATGCTGAGTTATTTTCATGACCAAAATACAATAAGGAAGAAAATATATGGATGTCAACTTCTTTATTATGAGGAACATAACATTTCGGAGTATATACTTACTCCTTCATCAGGTGAATGAATGATATGCTTACTTACTTACTTTGGAGATTTAACGTGCGCTTTCCGACTGATGCGTATTTCGCACACGGGCCCGGCCAGGCCATTTAATGTGTTTCCGAAAGGGGCGAAGGTGGTCTGTGCAACCCAAGAGGGGGGTTTTAGGGGTTGCTTTTATAGAATTTGGGAATTTTGAGATTTGGAATAGATGCCGATGGGATTGGGGAGGAGAACTAAGGGAGCTGGGTATGGTGGATGTTTGTTTGTTTATGTGATTTTGATTTGGTAGGTTATTGTGTTTTTAGATGCGTTTTATTAGTTCCGTTTTTATTAAGAATACGCCTAAGGCCTTGTAGTTTTCTAGTTTATTTTGTGGGTTTAGTATTGCTTCTAGAGTTAGAGCCTTGTTTAGATTGAGGGTGGTTTGTAATGCGGTTCGATGTGTTAGGTAGTGTGTGCAGTGGATGAGTGCGTGTTCTGGGGTTTCTGGTTGTTTGCAGTGTGGGCAGTTACCTGTAGTGTGTTTTTTAAATTTTTTTAGGTGGTTATTTAGGTTGGTGTGTCCTGTTTGGAGTTTAGTGATTACTCTGTCGATTTTTTTGGATGGATGGAGAATTTTTGGTTTGGTTAGTGGTTTGCTGAGCACTTTTTTGATTTGGCTATTTGAGTTTAGATATAGGTTATGCCATTTTTGTGTGATTTTTTGCTTGTTTACACTTTTATTTTCTGATTTTGAGATGGGTAAGTTTAAGCTTATTTCTGGGATTTTGAGGGATAGTTTAGCTACTTTATCGGCGTTTTCATTACCGTATATTCCTACGTGGGCGGGTATCCACAAGAAGGTTATTTGTTTGCCTGCCTTAGTTAGGTCGTTGGAGCTTTTAAGTATTTGAATTATTAATTTAGGTCGGTTTTTGGTATTTTTGTTTTGGAGGGCTTGCAGTCCACTTAGGGAGTCGGTAAGTATTAGGATTTTTTTGTGGTTTTTTTTATTCTTGATTATGGAGGGCTGAGGCCATGCCCATTAGTTCTGCCGTGAATATTGATTGGTTGTTTGGGAGTCGGAAGGATTGTGTGGTTTTAGTTGGTTGTGTGGTATGGACTCCGAAACCTGTGTGTTTGGAGGTCGGATCTGAGGATCCGTCCGTGTAAATGTGACACCAATTTGGCCAATTTTTCGTGTATGTATGCTAGTGTGGTAGTTTTAGCTATGTTTGGGTCGGTTTGTTTATTTATTTGGCTAGCTAGTGTTGTGTCTATTTTGGGTATTTTAAGTTTAGGGGTGAAGATATTTGATTGTTTGCAGTTTTGTTTAAGATTTTTAATTTGGTGTTCATTTAGGTAGTTTGTTATTCTTTGGGATATTGGGGTAAGTAAGGGGTGTTTACGAGCTAGAGCTTGGTTTTTGGGGCTGATGTTTTGGTTTATTAAGTTTTGGATGAGAGGGTTTGATTGGGACGCGGCCCAGAAATTTAAGCTTAGCTGTTCCCTGCGTAGACTTAGTGGCATTTCTCCTGTTAAGGCCTGAAGTGAGGTGTAGGAGGTGCCATGTTGGGTGCGTGTAATTAGTTTGAGAGCCTGATATTGTATTGAGTCAAGTTTTTTAGATAGAGAGTTGTTAAGGGTGTTGTATATGGCGCAGCCGTAGTCTAGTTTTGATCTAATTAGTGATATGTAGAGAGAGAGGAGGGTATCTTTGGATGCTCCCCAGTTAGAGCCAGTTAGGCATCTTAGGGTGTTTAGGTCTTTACTGCATTTAGTTGTTAGGTTTTGGATGTGAGCATCCCAGGTGAGATGTTCATCGAAAATAAGTCCTAAGAACTTGGTTTGTTTTTGAAATTTGATTGTTTGATCGTTTAGCTGGAGGATTGGGGAGGCGGGTTTCATGTTTTTATGTTTGAATACTATTCCTGTTGTTTTTTCTGAGTTAAGGGAGAAGCCCCATTTGTCAGCCCATTGTTGTATTTTATTAAGAGATTTTTGGAGTAAATTTTGGACCATGTTCATGCTTTTAGTGCGGATCCAGATGGCTCCATCATCCGCGAATTTTTATGTGTTTACTTTAGGGGATAGGCCCTCGAATAGATCGTTTATCATTATATTGAAGAGGGTGGGGCTGAGGATACTGCCCTGTGGAGTACCATTTTCTAGGGGACATTGGTCCGATAGAGTTTGGTCTATACCCACGGTTATTTTACGATTGTTTAGGAAGTCCTGGATGTAGTTTATTATCTGACCTTTGAGTCCTATTTTTTTAAGTTTTTGTATTAGCCCATCGTGCCATACCATGTCGAAAGCTTTAGAGAAGTCTAAGAAGATGCCTGTGGTATATTGTTTATTTAGTTATATGTGATATGAGGCAGAGAGCATATATATATGTACATGTAAGAACAACAAAAGTAATAAGATAACAAAGGTGGAAAATAACAAAGGGTAGAAACTAACAAGGGAAGTCAACAGATGATTGGAGCTGATAGGTGATTAGCAATAGACAATGGAAGCCAACCCTTTACAGTAATTGGCTCTGAAGGTATGGAAGCCAGTACTTAAGTTATCATAGATAAGTAATAGGCAATGGACACTGGGCAATTAGCACTGAGGAGTAATTAGCACTGATAGGTGAAAGAATGGACATAGCAAAGGGCAAATTGATGCCAGCTAGGTATTTAGCACTGACAAAGATCAAAGCAATAAGTCCCAAGCACTAGGCAGATAGGTTCCCTGGTCACGGTTCATGGCTGGCTGGTGTCTCCTGGTGTCAATGGCTTCTTGTAGTTTTCTTTGTCACAGTTGTTGTTGTAAGATAGGACTTTGGTGGCTTCCCACATGATGTAATGGTTTTGGTTCTTCAGGATGTGTTCGGAAATAGCAGATTTCAGGTCGAGTTTCTTAACGGAGGTCCGATGTTCTTTGAGTCTTGTGTTGAGGGGGCTAAGGGCTTCTCCAATGTTCTGGTGGCCACAGTTGCTGGGGATCTGGTATATACATCCCCGGGGGTTGGGAATTGTGCTGCTTGTGCCTCTGCCATTGGCTTGTAGATGGGTCTTGATGGACTTGCTGCTAGAGAAGGTGACATCTATGTTGGCTTTGTTCTTGATGAGGCGGAAATCTGGTGAGTGACAGGGCCTTGATAGGGTAAGGTGATTCTGATGGGCGATGGAGCTGGTGCTTGGGCCCGGGGTCGGAGTTCTTGAAGGTTTTGGGGATGGTTTTGGAGACTAGGTGGGCAGGATAGCTGTTGAGGGAAGGGAAGGTTTCCTTGAGATGGTCCAGTTCACTGCTGAGGGCATCAGGGTGACAAATGGATTTTGCATGTCGGGTGAGGGTGGCGATGATGGCTTGTTTTATCTGGGGATGGTGGCAAGAGTTGTATCGGATGTACTGGTCTGTGTGGGGGGGGGGGGCTTGCGGTACACTGATGTTCTTAGTCCATCATCTGTGGTTTAATATTATTATTTAATATTATCACGACTAAATGGAGGGAGGCCATGAAAAATGACAGTTGTATTTTTCAAATAAAAAAAATAATAAATTCATTTTTTAAATAACCAGTCCCATAAATCAGTTTGTTTTTCTGAATGTCAGCTTTCAACACTAACTGCCAGTACCGTAAATCCTTGAATAATTGTCAAGTGTTTATATATTTTAAAGGTTCATGTGGGTTTTATTAGGCAGGCATACATATGTTCAGAGAGGTTGTATGGTTCAGTATTGTTTCCAATGTCTCTGGGGGGCACAGGTGGCCCAGTCGTCTAAGGCGCCGCGATTCGCTGTGCAGAGTTGCGTCCCTAAGGCATAGCCAGAAACCTATGATTGTGGGTTCGAATCCCGGTTCGCCCCGATTATGTTTCTAGGTTTGTGAGCACCATACCCGTGCTCTAGGGTTTCACTGAAGTGGTAAACGGTCTGAGACCTGCATAACTTCGGGCTTTCCTCCAACATTAAGCTGACATGCCGCGATATAACTTGAATACTGTTAAAAGCGGCATTAAACCAAACTCACTCACTCACTCCAATGTCTCTGAGTCTCCCTTGTTTCACAACTTTGAACGGAATTCCTCATCTCTCCTCAAAACAATAATGGGATAGGCCATGTTACACCACAGTTTGACAGCTAATGAAGTGCAGGCCCTACCCTGCAAACAGGATGTCAACAAAACCAGACAGTCATGAATGCTGTGACAAGGGTGGATAGGCAACTGATTAACAGACGACTGTTTTTTATGCCTAGAGTAAAATACCCCTGAAGGTCAGAAAACAGGTCTTTGGCAATCCATGGTTGTTGAAAGAGGTGATTATGCCTGTTGTAAAAGGTGACTAAGGGGATCGGGTGGTCAGGCTCACTGACTTGGTTGATGCATGTCATCATATTCCAAATGCGTAGATCGATGCTCATGATGTTAATCAGTCAGAACAAGCTGCCAGACCCTACTTTCTGTGCCTAGTGTTAGAATGGCGACTTTTGGAGGTCGGAGTTTCGCCAAAGTTGCCCCTGAGCTATGGAATAGGCTGCCATTGGATATCAGGAACATTGACAGTCCTACTTTGTGCCGATCAAGACTCAAAACCTATCTTTTCACCAAATCTTTCTTGGAGTATTGAGGCTTTGTGTTTTCCTAGCTGTGTAATGTCTCTTTTTTGTGTAGACTCAAATGAAGCGCTTTTGAGCAGTTCTTCGAACTGGATACCAGCGCTATATAAATCTGTAGTTATTATTTTTATTATTACCGTGAATAGCGACAAGATTGTTGATGTGACGTTAAGAGCTATGTCCACTCACTCAATACCTGCCGAACTTGAGAGTTTAGAAAGGGAGATTGTATTTTAAAAAGAATATACATTATTCAAGGCAGGCTATATTCAAGAATTTACAGGAAATTACTTCTTAAGTTTACCACTGTAATAACATGAAAATATTGAAAAATTGAAGACATGTGAAATTTTATTATCATCAGTCCCTGATATTGTTTTTCTCATTTGATTGTGTTTTTACAGCTCCTGTTAAAGTGGCAGTCGTGAAAGCAAGCAAGTCATCGACGTTTGACCTGAAAGCCCTTATAACGGAAAGCACCTGGGCAAAAGCTTTACAGGGAGTGTTCACAGAGAAATATTTTGAAGATCTCCAGGATAAACTGGAGCAAGACTATTTAGGAACAAAGCAAATCTTTCCTCCAAAAGAAAAGATTTTTAATGCTTTTAACCTGACCCCGATTGACAAGGTAATTGTTTCATGAAAGTTTGTTTTTTGTTTAACACCGCACTCAGCAATATTCCAGCTATATGATGGTGGCCTGTAAATAATCAAGTCTGGACCAGACAAACCAGTGATTGACATCATGAGCATCGATCCACATGATTGGGATTGATGACATGCATCAACCAAGTCCGCAAGCCTGACTACCGGATCCTGTTAGTCGCCTCTTACAACAAGCATAGTCACCGTTTAAGGCAAGCATGGATTGCTGAAGACCTAGTCTATCCCGGATCTTCATCCTGTGGATGTAGCTGGGCAGTGTAGAACGATCGCTTACAAAACTGGGAGAGATATGATAATCTGTAAATATCATCGTCCAATTTACGACTTCATTAAGTTGCGAGAACATGTTTATCTCGTAGCCATCTTATATATATATATTATGGGCCCAGAAATATCTTCATTTCCTGAAACTATAAAAATCGGGACTTGCAGGAGACACAGCATTGTACAAAATGTATAATAACTCTGTCCACACCAGTACATGTCTTATTTATTGTATGGTTTGTTTTAAGATTGTTAAAAAAATATATGCTAGAGTTTCTGATTTAATGATATGCTTGAACAGTTGATTCTTTGTGAAAGAAAAAGTACTTTGAGGAATGGCAGATTTCACTGATTTCCTTTAACACTACTAAATGCTGTGTGTGGTATTTTTGGCAGGTGAGGGTCGTGATTCTTGGACAAGATCCCTACCACGATGATGGGCAGGTGAGAATCTCAGGGAGTTATTGTGGGTTTAACGCCACTTTTAACAGTATTCCAGTTGTTCCAAATTTCCGTGTCCCGTGATGGGATTCAAACCATGGACCTTCTGATCAGAGGTCGGACGCCTTGTCCATCTGACCAAAGAGGTTAACCCCGTCAGCAAGCTGACAAGGTAAGGATGTCATTTGTGGGATGACTCCACGCCCTGCTACATACTCCCCCGTCAACAGAAGGCACATTCCGGGCTGCATAGTAGGGTACTGAGACTTATTTTGCTCAACTTTAATATGAACATGCTCAGCCCCACATTGGGCGCCAATGTAGCGGCCATAAAATTTCCTCGCCCTGTGATGGGATTCGAACCACGGACCTTCTGATCAGAGGTCGGATGCCTTGTCCACATGACCAAAGAGGTTAACCCTGTCAGCAAGCTGACAAGGTAAGGATGTCATCTGTGGGATGACTCCACGCCCTGCTACATTTCACGGCGTGTCAGCTTAATGTGGGTGGAAACTTCGGTGAAACCCATGTGTATGGGATACCCAGAAACATAATCGTAGCGAACCCGGATTCCAACCCCAAATCATAGGATTCTGGCGTGCTCAAGGGACGTAACTCTGCACAGTGAATTTTGAAGGCTCAGACGACTGGGCAACCCGTGCCCCCTCAGGGAGTTATTGGGGGTGTTGGGATAACCTGATGGATAAAGAGTTCCATTGTGATGCAGAAGGTCCTGGGTTAAATACCTCCATGTAATGAGACTACATCAGCAAGGAAGAGAATGTATGGATGTCAGCTTCTGTATTATGAGGAACCCAACGTTTTGGAGTATACGCTTACTTCTTTATCAGGTGGGGGGCACAGGTGGCCCAGTTGTCTAAGGCGCCGCAGTTCGCTGTGCAGAGTTGCGTCCCTTGGGCATGCCAGAAACCTATGATTGTGGGTTCGAATCCCGGTTCGCCCCGATTATGTTTCTAGGTTTGTCAGCACCATACCCGTGCTCGTGGGTTTCACCGAAGTGGTAAACGTCTGAGACCTGCATCACTTCAGGCTTTCCTCCCACATTAAGCTGACACGCCATGATATAACTGGAATACTGTTTAAAGCTGCGTTAAGCCCAACTCACTAACTCACTCACTCTTTATCAGGTGAATGAATGATATGAGGCAGAGAGCATATATATGTACATATTAGAATAGACCCCTGAATGCAGCGTTGGCATTAGTCCTGTAGTCCTTGCCAAACTGTCCAATAGCTAAGGTATCATAAGGACTTGTAGAGATTGGCTGTTTTTGAGGGTTTTGCTATATGTTATCATTATAAGGACTAGTAGAGTAAAACTGTTAGTTTCTACCGCTGGAATGGTCTGTTGATCTGTTTGATTTCTTATTTACTAATCAGACCCGTGAAGATCCGGGGATAGAATAGGTCTACAACAACCCATGCTTGCTGTAGAAGGTGACTATGCTTGTCGTAAGAGGCGACTTACGGGATCAAGTGGTCAGATTCGCTGACTTGGTTGATGCATGTAATTGATCCTAATAGTGTGGATCGATGCTCATGGTGTCAATCGCTGGATTGTCTGTTCCAGACTCGATTATTTATAGACCGCCGTCATATAGCAGGAATATTGCTGAGTGCGGAGTTAAACAACAAACAAACAAAACATGTTAGAACAACAAAAGTTATAAGATAACAAAAGGTGGAAACTTAATAAGGGAAGCCAACAGACAATTGGCCCTGATAGGCGATTAGCAATAGATTATGGAAGCCAACACTTTACAGTAAATCAGTAGTCTAAGGGAGGTAACTGTGTAGCAAACAGGCATATGGTGCAAATGTTGAAGTTTTTGTCCCCTTTGAAACCAAGGTGGTGTCCGTTTCAGGCAGAAGGGTTGGCATTCTCGGTGCCTGATGGACTGGCCGTTCCTCCGTCTCTGAAGAACATCTACAAGGAGTTGACAACAGATATCCCAGGCTTCAAGACCCCTGATAGTGGAAGTCTGGTGAAGTGGGCAACACAAGGGGTGTTTCTCCTCAATGCTACGCTCACAGTCGAGTAAGTTTTGTCTCATAAGGTTTGAGTGATGTAATGGGGTGAAACAGGTGAGCTACAGTGCTGTGGCACTGTGTTTTACTATTGCAATAGTACCATTATTGCAAAAATTACACCACTTTGCAATGCTACTGTCAAAGTAGTTTTTTGTTTGTTTGTTGTTTAACGCCTGACTCAGCAATATTCCAGCTTTTTGACGGCGGTCTGTAAATAATCGAGTGATTGTTATCAAGACAATCCAGTGATTGATATCATGAGCATCGATCCACGCAATTGGGATCGATGACATGTATCAACCAAGTCAGCGAGCCTGACCACCCGATCTCTTACGGCAAGCATATTTCACCATTTACAGCATTGTAGTAGTAAATGGAATGAAACCCTGTGTTAGATTGTGTTACCTGTATTCATTATGGTTAGGTTACAACCTTCAGTTTCATTTCTTACAACAAAAGTATTATGCTTAGAATGTCAAGTTCATTTTAGTTTTTGTTAGACTGGAATCAGTCCTAGTTTCACTGTTAACCAGTAGCCAGTTGCACTTTTGTAGTTTACCATACAGCATGTCGCAGGCCATGTGCTCTGCAATACATAACCTTACATTTTTCTATATGATGACAAACGATAACATGCCCATCAAGCCTCAGAATCATAATTGTAAGTGAGCATCAAAAGGATTACAATGGCGTCTGGAGGCCACAATGACTGTTGATGTCACCATGTGGGCATTGTTGTACAAAACAACCTTAGCGCTACGATTGTCATAAGTCTATGTAAAGGTATGGGAGTTACGATCACCTCAGCACTAAGATCGCTTTGTACAACAGCATCCAGATGATTTTTCACCATCTGCTGATTAGGCTTGTTTGTTTGTTTGTTGTTGATTAACGCTGCACTCAGCAATATTCCAGCTTTATGACGGCAGTCTGTAAATAATCGAGTCTGGACCAGACAATCCAGTGACTGACATCATGAGCATCGATCCACGCAATTAGGATCGATGACATGCATCAACCAAGTCAGCGAGCCTGACCACCCGATCCTGTTAGTCGTCTCTTACGACCATCATATTTTGCCATTTACGGCAAGTAGGGCTGGGGCGGGTAACTCGGGTAACTCGGGTACCCGGGTCGGGTGGGTACTGAGTACGACTACCCGGACCCATGGTTAGTCACATGATATATTGTTTGATGACAAAAGTTATCTAGAACTCTATGGTTACACTACAAGTCACTCATGTTCGCATTTCTTTCTGACCATGCACCCATTCCTTCTGACAGTTCATATGGTTGAATAGAGATATAACTTTGGTCAACTTCAGTGTATGCATGACCAGATTGTTTAATACATGTATCTGAATACGTTTTGCAAGTGCTGTGGTAAAAATATTTCCAAAACATTTTGTGTCTCTTGAGATCTACAGTGGGTAACCGGGTAGGGTCGGGTAATAGGGGTGTTTGTACCCGGGTAGTAAATTTGGGCTTGCCCAAGCCCTAACCGCAAGCATTGGTTGCTAACAATCTCATTTAAGTCAGATCTTAGTTCTCGCTACCGCTAAACAAAGATCTGAAGACGTCCCATTAGGTGTCACGTCAGAACGACCTTTCATCCGACCAATCAGAGCGTCGCTTACCAGATTATGAAAGTGACAGTCGGAATGTGATTTCTAATCATGCAACCTCGAAAACTTTATTCCGAACGATAGTTACGGGCTAAACGACTGAATCCATACAATCTAGCCCATCTATTAGCCATTCCAGAATGTTCTTTTGGTCAGGTTTCAAATTTGTAATCGAGAATGTGTCAAAATATGTTTTGAAGGGTAGTCGCCAATTTGAACTTAGTGCCATAAAAGGACGAGAAAGCTGCCTTCTGATTGGTCGGTCAAAGTTCGCGCAAGGTCAGTCTGACGTGACCGGTACTGGGATGTCCTCAGATCTCTGTTTAGCGGTAGCGAGAACTAAGATCTGATTTTAATGAGATTGTGGTTGCTGAAGACCTATTCTACCCTGGATCTTCATGGGTTACCAGTGTGTATTACATGAATATCCACCGATTTCTGTTCATGGGGATTGAGGACCTGTTTATCTGGCTTGGCTACTTCTGTTTGTGACATGACCTCTTCTCTTTGCAGGGCACACACTCCCAACTCCCACAAGGGCTACGGCTGGCAGACGCTGACTGACCAGGTCATCAAGATCATCAGTGACCAGTGCCCGTTTGTCGTTTTCATCCTCTGGGGAAACTTTGCACAGAAGAAGGGCAAACTTATCAATGATAAAAAGCACACTATCATTAAAAATGCCCACCCCTCCCCACTGAGTTTCACCCGGTTCACAGGTTGTAAGTGTTTCTCTGCAACCAATACTGCTCTGCAGAAGAAAGGGTTCTCTCCAATTAATTGGTCCCTCTAGTGACCGGAGCTGTGGCAGCTGTAGAAGCTGGTCCCTGTAGTGACAGGAGCTGTGGCAGCTGGTACCTGTAGTGACAGGAGCTGTGGCAGCTGGTCCCTGTAGTGACAGGAGCTGTGGCAGCTGTAGAAGCTGGTCCCTGTAGTGACAGGAGCTGTGGCAGCTGTAGGAACTGGTCCCTGTAGTGACAGGAGCTGTGGCAGCTGGTCCCTGTAGTGACAGGAGCTGTGGCAGCTGGTCCCTGTAGTGACAGGAGCTGTGGCAGCTGGTCCCTGCAGTGACAGGAGCTGTAGAAGCTGGTCCCTGTAGTGACAGGAGCTGTAGAAGCTGGTCCCTGTAGTGACAGGAGCTGTGGCAGCAATATTCCAGCTATATCACGGCAGGGAACACCAGATATTTTGTTTGTACAGTTATGTTTAGCATCACATGATTTGGCCTGGACTTAAAGCTGTTTCGGCGACTGGGTCCAGGGTGTTAATCACAACAGGGTGGAGGGATGATACCCTGTACAACAAGGAGCATTCAGTTCAGTTCACAGCACACTTCTTTCCCATACACAACATCAAACTGTACATCCAAATGTCATCATTGTTGTCACATGCATATAAATATAGAGATAGTCCCATTTTATCACGTTTCTTCATCTCCAAATTTGCAGGCAATATCTTTTTACATTACTTTTATTAACTGACATAGATTTTTATACATCTTGTTAATGTAATATTAAATCTATATTATACACACTCTAATTTTAGGTTGTACTTTTTCTCCATGTTTTGTATAAGCAGTTTTGTGATAGATTATCCAATAAAATACCATACTACAGTTTTGTATGTTTCTTTTTCAAAACTCAAGGTCATGTCGCTCACTGATACAAATCACTGACAAAATTGCAAACCATCAGCGCTGTCTGACCCACAGGATCTGCATAATGTAAGAAATGAGGATTTATTTTGGAATGGTTATAAAAGTGAACAGTTGTGTTCATATGTACGCTAATTTGACTTATTTTTTGAAAACATGTCTGTTTTGGAGTTCTGACAGTATTTAATGCACCACATTGCAAGTCTTGAACAAGGTTTATTTTCTACTATGATGTAGTAAAGACACTACAAAACCTATGGCAAAAAATCTTTGATTATGGACCCTTTTCAGTTCTTTTTCCTCATAAAGGTAGAAAAAGTGGCCTGTTTTATTTCAATTTTGCGAGACCTGAGGTATATCATCATATTATTGTAGAAAAATTATAATTCAATTTGTCCGTAAAATGAGCACTTTTCAAAGTTATCAGTCACTTTAAGATTTGACATTTCTTGTAGACAATACAGGGCCCTTATTGTATCCTGAGGTTGCTGACACAGGACTACCATCTCATACCCCCGGGTGCCCATTCACTGCTGGGTGAGAAGAGGCATATTTCGAAAAAGGCTCTTAGTTAAGGAGACGTTAAAATGTAATGTGTTTCTGTGTGGGGCAGGACCGAAGCTACAGAAATGCTCAGGAATCCAGCTTGCCAAATGTTGTCATCCATCCATCCATCTACTTTACACCAACGTTGCTGAACTTCACTGGATTTGAGGCCTGTGTGTTGTCCACGGAACCATGTGCCACTGCTTTAAACAGTATTTAAGCTGTATCACAATATATCAGCTTGATGTGGGAGGAAGGTCTGAAAAGATAAGGTCTCAGATGCTTGCCGCTAAATATAGCAGGGTATGCTGCTGACAAACCTGGAAACAATCAAGGCATATCTTTGTATTTGATTGATTGTTTGTTTTTTGCTTAACACCACACTCGGCAATATTCCACCTATATGATGGCAGTCTGTAAATAATCAAGTCTAGACCAGACGGTAATTATAATTGACATCATGTGTATCAATCTATGCAATTGGGATAAAATGATATGCATCAACCAAGTCAGCGAGCCTGACCACCTGATCCCGTTAGTTGCCTCTTATGACAAACAAGGTCACCTTTTATGGCAAGTATGGGTTACTGAAGACCTATTTGAACCGAGATCTTCATGGGTCCTTTGTATTAGAACCCACAGTCACAGGTTTCTGCCATGTCAAAGGGATGCAGCTCTGCACAATAAAATTGTGGCGCCTCAGATGACTGGCCCCCGGTGACCTCGACAGCTTCAGTGCCTCTTGGACACCTCTGAAACCACTAGGCTGATGCAGCTGAAGTTTGTATCTGATTACAGCATCAGTCCGAGTGCCTCTCGGGGGCATGGGTTGCCCCGTCGTCTGAGGCGCCGCAATTGGTTTGCAGAGTTGTGTCCCTTGGGCACGCCAGAAACCTATGATTGGTGGTTTCGAATCCCGGTTCGCCCCGATTATGTTTCTAGGTTTGTCAGCACCTTACCCGTGCTCGTGGGTTTCACTGAAGTTGTAAATGTCTGAGACCTGCATCACTTCGGGCTTTCCTCCCACATTAAGCTGTCACGCCACGATATAACTGGAATACTGTTAAAAGGGGCGTTAAACCCAACTCACTCACTCACTCACCTAGTGTCTCTTAACTTTGTTTTCAGAATCCAAATATGGAGTAAAACAGTTTATATCTCCATTTCATGAAAAAATACAACAAAACAGATACAATACCTTTATTTAAAAGTGAAAAAAATAATCATATTGGCAGTTATACCATGCTTCAAGTACATACAGTCACATGTATAACACATTAGGGCCTTGTTCTTGCATATAATACAGATCTATATGCCCACATAACATGAACAGAGAACTCTATCTCCTTTAAGAAGGTCAATCAGAACCAGTATAAGAGCTTATTGCATGAATCTTCTGAGAATGAGTGATGATAAGGCCTCTTCATCCTCTGTATCTGCAACCTACACTGACCGCTAGATCCATTTATGTGGTTCTCATGAACTCACCCATGGGCCACCCATGCCCCCACAATGTTAATGAAAATCAAGGGCAGGTTATTTGAGATCGCGAGAACGACAGGAATGGATCAGGCGGTCGGTCAGTGGAGGTTTATCAGACACTGTGGACTCATGGGACATCTGAACTTGCCAGTTATAAAACTTGTTAAGACATTTAAATATTTTCATTAAATTCAATGGACATTAGGCCTGGGATGAGTCCAAATTTACTACCCGGGTACCCACCACGCTGATACCTGACCCTACCCGGATACCCGCTATATGTCTCAAGCCTTAGGTGTAAAAAGTCTGATTAGGAATAGTTTGACCGTAGCCCTGGTAAAATGTATTTAGATATCCGTATAAAACGATCCCGTCATGCATACACTGAAATTGACTGAAGTTTTATCTTTATTCAAACATATAAAGGTCAGAAGGAATGGGTGCACAGTCAGAAAGAAATGCGAACAATACTGACTTGTAGTGTAACCATAGAGTTTTGGATATTTTTGTCAATAAACAATATATCACGTGACTAACCACGGGTCCAGGTAGTCCTGGGGGTACCCGGGTCCTACTCAGTACCCACCCGACCCGAGTTAACTGTCCCAGCCCTAATGGACATTTTCTTTTATGAACTTTTTACATTTTGGACTTCCGAATGTCGTAAATCTTGTCAGGAAAGTATTCAGATTAACATAATTTCCTTGTAGACACTTGTAACATTGAAAGAGATTCTCAGATTTTGAGTGAAAAACAACTGATATATTTTGATAAGTGCAATATGTGCTGATGTCCCATCACCAGTATTTAACAGTTTGTGGTAATATAGTAACTGTTTGGTGACAATATACAGTATATTTCATGGCAATGATAAAACTTTGCTTACTTCAAGCACTTGGGGCTGAAAAGAACCTGCTCATTTCTGATGATTAATGGAATTTTGTCTTTTTAAACATAATAAACATGGAATTTTAAACCAACATTGAACTATAATGGAATGGTAATGAATATATATATTTAAATAAATAAAAGTAAGTAAATCCACATGATAAGTGTAAACACTTCTCAAAATAAAGCTTGTCATCATATATCAGAATAATAAATAATTATGCTTTTGTTGACAATGGAGGGATTATTGTTAAGGCATCAAACACAAAAAAATATCATATGGCCTGTAAATCCTCAAAGGCCATATCAACTCCGAAACTGTTTTCTGAATTTATGATTTTTAAGATCGGCAGACCAAGAAAACAAAATATATGACCTTACAACAAAGGGACAGATCGTAGTTCCTTTAAGTCTCAGTAGAAGTACCTTTGCCCATGCAATAGAGATCGTGATATTTGGGGTTATTGTTATGATATATCTGAAAAGTTACACTGACGTGAAATGTTCTTTGGACTATATCATATATTGTTGACACACACCATCTTCAAACACCTCCCCTCCCTCACTCCAAAATACATGTACCATTTTTCCATGACCAACCCCTCCCAGTGACCAGTCCCTGTAATGTTCAAATTTATAATTTAAATATTTGATAAAATAAAATTGAACCATCCTTTCCTCATGTTCCCCTCCATATAGTTGTGGTACATGTTCACAACCCCTCCTCTTTCCCTGTCATTTTTTCATGACAGCTCCCCCACTCCCATCTTCCCAAGGCAAGAGCATCCACTTGCCTTTTTATCAAAGTCTTGTTTCCACCCTTGCCACATCATGCCTACTTTCCTGTGCCAAATATGATTGGTCTATCGCACTTATCGATAGTCCAATCAGAGAATATTTCACAAAATCAACATCCACGACATCTTCTTATGGTACATCTTCTTATGAAAGTGATTTACCATTGTCTGTCTTTGTTGACACGAATATGTCTTTTCCATCTTTAAAAACTTCTAACAATTGCCTATGTTTTTGTGTCAGGGATGAAATTGTGAATGTTTTCGTTATCTGATCAACTAGGTCGTCGCCTAAGGTAGTCGCCATCTTTGTGAAGCTTTACGATTAAGAACAGCTATCTGATTGTATAGCACGTTTTCATTACAAGGGGCACAACTCGTGATCTACACGAGGTGCCGCCAGGGTCGAGCAAAGAAAAGTGGCCTTGATGTGGCAAGGGTAGAAACTAGGCTTTGATATAGGCTTCCTCCCATATAATAAATGACCAGTCTCTTTATTATTGGTTTTTCATTAGAAAAAATTAAATGAGAGGGGGGGAGACATTTTAAAAAAATTATAAAAAGTTGTTTTTTTTCAACCAACTGTTCAAGACACCTGTTTACATCAACTCAACAGATGTAATTCACATGATGCATAAATGTTTGGTTGTACACTTTATGGTGTATTCTGTAAAGTTAGGACAAAAAGGGAACAAACACCGCAATTGTATTCATATGTTGGTACTTTGGGATAACAAAAAAATGCACAGCATGTTCTGTGGTGTGAAGTCAGGTGTTGTGTGGTGTGAAGTCAGGTATTACATGGTGTTGCGTGGTGTGAAGTCAGGTGTTGTGTGGTATGGTTAGGTGTTGTGTGGTGTGAAGTCAGGTGTTGTGTGGTGTGAAGTCAGGTGTTGTGTGGTATAGAGTCAGGTGTTACATCATGGTGTTGCGTGGTGTAGAGTCAGGTGATGCGTGGTTTAGAGTCAGGTGTTGCGGGGTGTGGCTCTAGCACTGGGGGGCAGCCTGTACTTGAGTCGGATGTTGTCCAGCTCCATGTTGTGTCTGCGGTGGTCAGCGAAACTCTCCTCCAGGCGGGTCTGGGAGCGCATCAACACCTCGGACGTCAGACTCTGCAGAGGTACTGAGGAACACAACATCGGAATGTACAGCAAACTTCAAACTTTCATGTGAGCTAATAAGCCAAACTGCCCTCACTCTATATCATCTTGTATAACTGGTTTATATATATCAGGAGTTTCATGTATCATTGGTTAGAATAGGAAATCAGCAACCTATTCTTGCCATGAGAGGCAACTATGTTTGTTGTAAGAGGCGACTAACGGGATCGGGTTGTTAAGCTCGCTTACTTAGTTGATGCATGTCATCGTATCCCAGTTGCATGGATTGTTACTCATGATGTCAGTCACTGGATTGTCTGGTCCAGATTGGATTATTTACAGACCGCCGTCACTTAGCTGGAATATTGCTGAGTGCGGAGTTAAACAACAAACAAACAAAACTAATCACAAACTAATCGCAAATTGAACCTGAAGATATGCTACACAAGTCACTAAAAAGAGATTATCCACCTCATGCTCCCTGCCTGAGATACAAAGTCCCACATGTTGTGATCATCTTACCATCCACCTCATGCTCCCTGCCTGAGATACAAAGTCCCACATGTTGTGATCATCTTACCATCCACCTCCTGTTCCCTGACTGAGATACAAAGTCCCACACGTTGTGATCATCTTACCATCCACCTCCTGTTCCCTGACTGAGATACAAAGTCCCACACGTTGTGATCATCTTACCATCCACCTCATGCTCCCTGCCTGAGATACAAAGTCCCACATGTTGTGATCATCTTACCATCCACCTCCTGTTCCCTGACTGAGATACAAAGTCCCACATGTTGTGATCATCTTACCATCCACCTCCTGTTCCCTGACTGAGATACAAAGTCCCACACGTTGTGATCATCTTACCATCCACCTCATGCTCCCTGCCTGAGATACAAAGTCCCACACGTTGTGATCATCTTACCATCCACCTCTACTCCCTGCCTGAGATACAAAGTCCCACATGTTGTGATCATCTTACCATCCACCTCTACTCCCTGCCTGAGATACAAAGTCCCACACGTTGTGATCATCTTACCATCCACCTCCTGTTCCCTGACTGAGATACAAAGTCCCACACGTTGTGATCATCTTACCATCCACCTCCTACTCCCTGCCTGAGATACAAAGTCCCACACGTTGTGATCATCTTACCATCCACCTCCTACTCCCTGCCTGAGATACAAAGTCCCACATGTTGTGATCATCTTACCATCCACCTCCTGTTCCCTGACTGAGATACAAAGTCCCACACGTTGTGATCATCTTACCATCCACCTCCTGTTCCCTGACTGAGATACAAAGTCCCACACGTTGTGATCATCTTACCATCCACCTCCTGTTCCCTGACTGAGATACAAAGTCCCACATGTTGTGATCATCTTACCATCCACCTCCTGTTCCCTGACTGAGATACAAAGTCCCACACGTTGTGATCATCTTACCATCCACCTCCTGTTCCCTGACTGAGATACAAAGTCCCACACGTTGTGATCATCTTACCATCCACCTCCTGTTCCCTGACTGAGATACAAAGTCCCACACGTTGTGATCATCTTACCATCCACCTCATGCTCCCTCATCATCCTGCGTCTAGGCTCCTCTTCTGTCTCATCCGAGTCCTCCTCACTGGACAGTTGGTAGCCTGCCTCCTCCCGCTCGTCCCGAGTGATGTCCACATTGTCCAGCTGCTGCAGATTGTGCAGGTCCTGAATAATGCAGCCTCTGGAGAAAAGTATGATACATATTTGTCAGGCAACTCAGGTCAATGTTGGACTCACTGGGGTTCCCAGGGACCGAGAGACCCTTATGGAAGTGCCCTGGCCTTTGTCAACACAAGCATGACTGTTTTGGGCTACAATATCAATCACTGGATATTTACAGGCTGTCGTCATGCAGATGGAATATTGCTGAGTATGCTGTTGAACAAACTCCATCGATCCAGTTCTGCTTCAGTAAACACCATAGTATTTCATTCATATCAAGCTTCAAGAAGGAGTAACATCTAATGTTAAGCCACAAAACATAATTCAGAATTTACTCAATTTTTAACCCACCGATAAGCTGATAGCATATTTCACCCAAAAATTATTTTCGGAACAAGGACCCACTGACCTTATATAAAACTTGGCAGTCAATATAAAGTTTGTTGTTCCTGAAATTGATAGGTGAGGTGAGGTGAGGTGAAATGGGGTTTAACATCGCGTCCAAGATTATTGCGACGTGCATGTACGTGTGTGTGTGTTTGTGTGGCTGCTTGTACTATTCCGGACTGATGCCGATTTATAGTGCTAGCTCACTGAGATACCATGCTGCAGTTTAACATGAATACCCCACTCAGACACAGTATACTCCGAGCCGACCAGTCCCTGTTTTAGCCCCTTAATGCCGAGCGCCAGACAGGGTAACAACAAGTACCATTTTTTAACGTCTTTTGGTATGACGCGGTCGGGGATCCAACCCCAGACCTTCCGCTTTCCGGGCGGACGCTCTACCACTAGACCACGGAGGCGGTCTGAAATTGATAGGATGCATAGGTGTTCAACAGTAGTCCCACTTGATTCATCAGGTTTGCATTGCTTAAAGCAACAGCTGTGTTGCAGGCTCTCCTCCCACGTAACCATTTTAATATTATTATGCCAGCCTAAATGTAGTGGAGCAGAAAACTTTAAAAAAATAGAATTGCTTTTTCCCCCAACCTACCTGTAGGCATTTTCCTGTAAAAAATCTGCACAGCAAGTGAAAAAGTGCTGCCTTATGTACATGATTACTGTAGGTTGTTTACAATAGATGAAACACGTATACATCTCACCTGTAGTCTGGCATCCGAGTACATGGGTTCCCAGACAAGTTCAGCAGCATCAGAGACTGGGGGAATTCATCTGAAACAGTCATCAATATTCAGAGCTCCAGATAAGCTTTTGGTGTTGTGGGTATTTTACCCATGCATTTTAAAATCATTGGGTATCAGTAATTCTATCGGGGTTTTCAAATTTCTGTTACCCACTAGTTTTTACACATGTGGGTATTTAAGTTAAATATTTAAAAACACTATTCATCTAGTCCCTGCAAACTGGTGTCGTGTGGGTTCGAGAGCTTTATAGGACTAAAAAATACCACGATTCTTCCACAAGAAAGTGTGATGGCAAATGATCATGATGTAACTGTCATCGTGGAGTTTGGCAAGGTTCACAGCATGCCCGTTTATAATTTCAAAATGAGTTGCTGATTTGCTAATCGAATACGCAGGGTTACTTCACAATATTTTGATGATACGCACAAATTTGATTTTTTTAGCGTATCTGTAATGTTCGTTGCGTTTTTGATACGCTTGGATTATATTTTACTGCGTATTTCTGCATTTCTGATGTGTATTTTACGCAGATACACAGCTTATCTGGAGCTCTGATATTCTTATGAAACAATGTTAGGAACACAGGTCATCTGTGACACAGAAATATACGTCCAGTAGGCACACGTGAATAGAATGGACGCAGAAAAATATATATATTGTGTCCCAAACACGCACAATAAGATTCATTGTTCCAAATTGTTGACAAGAAATATAAAGGTTCTGTAATTAAAATATGAATTAAATTTTTACAGGACCCTCATATTTATTGTAAGGACGATTGAAATTAGTAGCTGTGAGTCCTCTGACCCCTAGATTTAAAGGTCAAGGTAAAACCCTGCATCAGTGTAATGACAGTGTGAAACATCAAAGCTACAGTCAATATTATTTTCCTTTCGGAAATACCTTTCGGCTAGGATGGCATCTTACCGATGTCAAACTGTGCTATGCGGTTGGCCGAGAGGTCAAGGAAGAGCAGCTTGGAGAGTTTGTTGAGGTTCTCCACCCTCTCCAGGAGGTTGCCGGCCAGTGTCAGGAACTGCAGGTTCTTCAGGCAGTCCAGGTTGTTGATCCGTGTGATCCTGTTCTGGAAGCAGGGACAACTGTCTAAATGAAGCCAGCTTTACTCTAACGTGTGCCAAGAGTTCAGTTAATCTTGTCAGGGAAACACAAGATTTTGACATGAGGGACCTAAACACAATATATGATTCTGACACGAACATGATTTTCTGTCTTAAGACAAAATTTAACTTCTGTGGAGGGAGTGACTGAGGTGGGGAATAATGTCACTGAGACTATGACTTCACTGTGTCTTTCATGTCACTGTGTCTATCATGTCACTGTGAACATGTGACTGAGACTGTGATGTCACAGTGTCTATGACATCACAGTGTCTATGACGTCACTGTGTCAATGATGTCACTGAGTCTATCATGTCACAGAGTCTATTATGGCACTGAGTCTATCATGTCACAGAGTCTATTATGGCACTGAGTCTATCATGTCACAGAGTCTATTATGGCACTGAGTCTATCATGTCACTGTGAACATATAACTGAGACTGTGTTGTCACAGTGTCTGTGACGTGTCTATTATGTCACTGAGTCCATGTTGTCACGGAGTCCATGTAACTGAGACTGTGGTGTCACTCTTTACCATGTTTACTAAGACGTCACTGTGTCTATAATGTCACTGAGTCTATGATGTCACTGAGTCTATCATGTCACAGAGTCTATTATGGCACTGAGTCTATCATGTCACTGTGAACATATGACTGAGACTGTGTTGTCACAGTGTCTGTGACGTGTCTGTGATGCTACTGAGTCTATGATGTCACAGAGTCTATGATGTCACGGAGTCCATGTTGTCACTGTGTCTATGACGTCACTGTGTCAATGATGTCACTGAGTCTATCATGTCACAGAGTCTATTATGGCACTGAGTCTATCATGTCACTGTGAACATATGACTGAGACTGTGTTGTCACAGTGTCTGTGACGTGTCTGTGATGCTACTGAGTCTATGATGTCACAGAGTCTATGATGTCACGGAGTCCATGTTGTCACTGTGTCTATGACGTCACTGTGTCAATGATGTCACTGAGTCTATCATGTCACAGAGTCTATTATGGCACTGAGTCTATCATGTCACTGTGAACATATGACTGAGACTGTGTTGTCACAGTGTCTGTGACGTGTCTATTATGTCACTGAGTCCATGTTGTCACGGAGTCCATGTAACTGAGACTGTGGTGTCACTCTTTACCATGTTTACTAAGACGTCACTGTGTCTATAATGTCACTGAGTCTATGATGTCACTGAGTCTATCATGTCACAGAGTCTATTATGGCACTGAGTCTATCATGTCACTGTGAACATATGACTGAGACTGTGTTGTCACAGTGTCTGTGACGTGTCTGTGATGCTACTGAGTCTATGATGTCACAGAGTCTATGATGTCACGGAGTCCATGTTGTCACTGTGTCTATGACGTCACTGTGTCAATGATGTCACTGAGTCTATCATGTCACAGAGTCTATTATGGCACTGAGTCTATCATGTCACAGAGTCTATTATGGCACTGAGTCTATCATGTCACTGTGAACATATGACTGAGACTGTGTTGTCACAGTGTCTGTGATGTGTCTATTATGTCACTGAGTCCATGTTGTCACGGAGTCCATGTAACTGAGACTGTGGTGTCACTCTTTACCATGTTTACTAAGACGTCACTGTGTCTATAATGTCACTGAGTCTATGATGTCACTGAGTCTATCATGTCACAGAGTCTATTATGGCACTGAGTCTATCATGTCACTGTGAACATATGACTGAGACTGTGTTGTCACAGTGTCTGTGACGTGTCTATTATGTCACTGAGTCCATGTTGTCACGGAGTCCATGTAACTGAGACTGTGGTGTCACTCTTTACCATGTTTACTAAGACGTCACTGTGTCTATAATGTCACTGAGTCTATGATGTCACTGAGTCTATCATGTCACAGAGTCTATTATGGCACTGAGTCTATCATGTCACTGTGAACATATGACTGAGACTGTGTTGTCACAGTGTCTGTGACGTGTCTATGATGCTACTGAGTCTATGATGTCACAGAGTCTATGATGTCACGGAGTCCATGTTGTCACTGTGTCTATGATGTCACTGAGTCGATGATGTCACTGTGTCCATGTGACTGAGACTATGATGTCACTGTGTCTATGATGTCTGGGAGTCTATGATGTCACTGTGTCTTTGACGTCACTGTGTCTATGATATCACTGTGAACATGTGATGGAGACTGTGATGTCTCAGTGTCTATGACATCACTGTGTCTATGATGTCACTGTGTCTATTATGTCACTGAGTCCATGATGTCACTGTGTCTATTATGTCACTGAGTCCATGTTGTCACGGAGTCCATGTAACTGAGACTGTGGTGTCACTCTTTACCATGTTTACTAAGACGTCACTGTGTCTATAATGTCACTGAGTCCAAGATGTCACTGAGTCTATGATGTCACAGCTTCCATGATGTCACTGAGTCTATAATGTCACTGAGTCCATGATGTCACGGAGTCCATGTAACTGAGACTGTGGTGTCACTCTTTACCATGTTTAGTAAGAACCATGATAACTTATATAAGTATTACTCTAATCTTGATTTCATGGAATAAACATCCCACCACAGCTATATGGAAATATGATGAAATATCTTTGAAACTTGTAAAATCCTCATTCTTAGTGAGGGAGTAGGGCTATGGGGGGCCCATTTGTCTGAGACTCAGCAATTCTCTGTGCAGAGTAGTGTCCCTTGAAACCTATGATCATTGGTTCAAATCTTGGTTCACCCCCATTGTGTTCTAGGATTGTCAGCACACCCATGCTTGAGAGTTTCATCAAAGTAGTAAAGGTTTGAGACTTGCATCACTTCGGGCTTTCCTCCCACATCAAGCTGACACGCTGAGATTGAACTATATAGATTACTGTTAAACCCAACTCACTCACTCACAATCACTCATCCCTGGTGTTTAAGGTCATGTGTCTATTAAATATATGATACACTCACCTGCTGGAGATACAAATTAGTGACTTTATCACTGAGAAGCTCAAGACTGTCAATATGACTGATGTTTTCACGGTCAAGTCGAACATGTGTGATCTCACAAAGGGCTGTTAGGCTGTGAACATGACACAATGATAGGGCTTAGGTCAAAATAAATCAAAGCAATGATCTAAATATATCTAAAGGATTTGGGGGCATGATTTACACATTCTCATTGCATGATCTGCAACAGCACTTTAACATTTAACACTTTAACAGCGTGTCCACTGGCCTATATCAAAGCCTATTTGTTACATTTGATCACTTTCTAAATGGCATTGTATGATCATTATTACAATGCTTACTATTATTACCATCCCTACTATTATTACCATACCTACTATAATAACCATACCTACTATAATAACAATGCCTACTATTATTACCATGCCTACTATTATTACCATGCCTACTATTATTACCATGCCTACTATTATTACCATGCCTACTGTTATTACCATGCCTACTATTATTACTATGTCGACTATTATTACCATGCCTACTATTACTACCATGCCTACTATTACTACCATGCCTACTATTATTACCATGCCTACTATTATTACCATGCCTACTATCATTACCATGTCTACTATTATTACAATGCATACTATGTTTACTAATGTTACAGTCTAGAACAGACAAAAGATACTTACATTTTCTCCTGGTCCCATGAAGTAGTAGCCTCTGGTGGAAGATGTCGGGTGACTAGGAGATGCAAGGACAGGCGCTGAGTTTTCTTTTCTTCTAAATAAACAGACACAAGGGTGATGAACTAGGAAGATCTACACCTGATGTGTGTTAGGGAGAGAAATCAATGGTATCACTGAGTTGTAAGCATGTTTATATTCCACACAAATTTAGTTCCAGTAAAAATATCAGGAGTTAAAGCTGCAGTGAAAATGTTCATGACTACTGAAATTTCTTGACATGTCTATGTAACCATGGTTACACCGATATGCACCTCCTCCACAGGAACAAATGTTGGTAGTAAAAGTTCCACAAGAAACTTAAATACGCACGGAACCAGATCCTGTTTACAGAGAACCCTGTTTTTGAGTGACACCTGTTTTTGAGTGAAACCTGTTTATGAGTGACACCTGTTTTTGAGTGACACCTGTTTTCAAGTGACACCTGTTTTCAAGTGACACCTGTCTTCAAGTGACACATGTTTTCGAATGACACCTGTTTTCTGGTGACACCTGTTTTTGAGTGACACCTGTTTTCAAGTGACACCTGTTTTCGAGTGACACCTGTTTTTGAGTGACACCTGTTTTCAAGTGACACCTGTTTTCGAGTGACACCTGTTTTCAAACAGCAATATTGACAGTGATTTGTCCTGTTATGAGAATGACGTCAAAGCTGTTGATTTGACAGTGCACACTTCTAGTGGGGTCTTCCCGATGTGCCCACAGTCCCATTCTGCCTATAGTAAAATCATAAAATGATACAGATGCTGTGAAACTGGTCCATACTCAGACAATGAAACAGTGTAGGCACAATGGGAAACACTTGTGAGATTAAATAAAACCTTAACACATAATGAAAGTCATGGATGTATTATATTTATAATATAACACAGAAGTAAAATATAACAACAATTTTGGCAATACTTTCATATTCAATCAATTAACCACAAGCAAATCATAGACAGTTATTGTCCAAATTTGTCGCTGATCTGATGAGTGAGTGAGTGAGTGAGTATGGCTTTACACCACTTTTATCAAAATTCCAGCAATATCACGGCGGGGAACACCAGAAATGGGCTTCACACATTGTACCCATGATGGGAATCGAACCCAGGTCTTCGGCGTAATGAGCGAACGCTTTAACCACTAGGCTACCCAACCGCCCCCTGATCTGATGAAATCACCAACAGTGATGCACCGACCTTTGCACCTTGAATGAGGAGGAGTTTTGGAGTTTTACGACCGCTTCTGCCATAGATAATGTCACAGTCGCAGTCGGGGTCAGGTGGGGGTTACGTTAAATACTGAACAAGGGGGAATAGGATGTAAACGCCTGACCTAAAAAACAATAAATTGTATACTTGTCAACATCCAGCATTATACTTTTCAATGTGATTGGGATTAAAATAAGGAATTTATATACATTGCCACATTTTACTCAGTCTAATGTTAACTGCATTGAAAATACAGTTTAAACAGTCATATGTATTAACATCTCTGCTCAGCTTAAGAACTGGCTTGTCTCAACAACAATGGATTAAAACTTAAATTGCATTGATCTTAAAATTAGTTAATTGACGTGATTGGTTCCATATTATTATTTTGTTGTTGTTGTTCATATCATGCATATAGTAATAATTAAATACACAGTCTAATGTTAATTGGATTAATCTCAAATTAGGATGTAAGCAGAATGTGATGTAGGCACAATGAGATTGAATGCTTACAGCCTGTCAACACTGGGTTCATGTGAAGTACTGTACACCTATCAGAAAATAATGTCATCATTCAGAATTTTGTTGCCCCTATCATGATGAAAAGAGTAAATGGTGTGAACATTATACATGTAATCTGACAAACATTCATACATTGCAGGGGGCATTGGTGGCCCAGTCGTCTAAGGCACTGTGATTCGCTGTGCAGAGTTGCGTCCCTTGGGTACGCCAGAAACCTATGATTGTGGGTTTGAATCCCGGTTCGCCCCAATATGTTTCTAGGTTTGTCAGCACCGTACCCGTGCTAGTGGGTTTCACCGAAGTGGTAAACGTCTGAGACCTTCATCACTTCTGGCTTTCCTCCAACATTACGCTGACACGATATAACTGGAATACTGTTAAAAGCGGCGTTAAACCCTACTCACTCACTCATGCATTGCAGCGATAGAGTGAGTGAGTGAGGTTTTACGCTGCTTTTAGCAATATTCTAGCAATATCACGGCGGGGGACACCAGAAGTGGGCTTCACACATTGTACCCAAGTTGGGAATCAAACCTGGATCTTCAGCGTGACGAGCGAACGCTTTAACCACAAGGCTACCTGACCACCCCTTGCAGCGATAGAAACTAACAGCTTTAGTCCACAAAGTCCTCATAATGATTACATATAGCAAAATCCTTAAAAAGGGCAAATTTCTTCAAGTCCTTATGACACCTTAACTATTGGGAAGTTTGACAAGGACTACTGTAAATCTTGTAATTAATGTGTTTCCAAATAAATACGACTGAGGACCCCTAGCCAAAAATGCGACTCAATATCAATGCGACTTCCTCTATCCCATCCCCAGTGGAATGATGCATATCCTTACCTTAATCCAACCTTACCTTAATCCAACCTTACCTTAATACAACTTTACCATAATTCAGTTTTACCTTAATCCAATCAAACAGAAAATAGCACCGCTTATTAGCGCTGAGTAAAGCACTTCCGTAAAAACAAAAAACAGTGTTTTCCTAAAAACAACACACAGTTTATATGTTTATTCTGTTGACTGTCATTAAGGAAGTTCAAAGGATATAAAATAATTGAACCAAAAAACTTGATGGCAGATGACAAAGACAAGGGCTGTATATCCGAGGAGTGTGATGAAGCCTATCGGTGCCCGTTGGGTAGTGTCGGCCTTTGACGAAGTGTTGCATGGGTGGCGTCTGTCTGGACTGCTGGAGCGGTGAATGATGCCCACTTTGACACAAGTGTGTAGAACTTTTGACCCCAGCAGGGATAACTCACCTATACCTATTCTTTGAATGACATTGTTACAACTGCTGCTCAATAAACAGTGAATATTCAAGTTGGTATTTCCGCTATCCAAAGTGTGCAGTGAGAACATATTATTGCTAATAGTCATTTTGGAGACATAAATGCGAAGTTTCATCAATGCGAACAAAGACCACTCGCATTTTTCGCATTTTATTTATGCTCACGTTAATTTCAAGATTTACAGTATAGGACTAGTGGCAATTTCTAACGCTGCCTTGTGAATAGGTTTCAAACTTTCAATTACGTTTGTAGTTCAAATGCTGACCCCCAAGAAGTTTGAACAGAACTATGTTCCAAAACATGTCCGTTCATTCATTGAAACACAGCTAAAGTACCAAACCAGTCAGGTGTACAAACACAGGTGGCATCAGTCGAGTGTAATTAACTGTTCAAAAATAGGCTACACAAGGATAATATTTGGTGCCAACAATATTTTCCTTGGGACTTGAGACTTATGTTCAAGGCAAATTATCAGCACTCATACCACATGCATGTTATGTTGCATCGACATAAACTAGCCATGACTTTATTTATTATTTATCTAGGATTCCAAACCAAGTACCCTTGGCAGGAAAATTGGGAAAAAAATGTAATTTAGTCAAATTTGGCTTCTATTTTATTAATTTCACAGGTATTTTATCAATTTATGCATCTTCCCGAGGCAAGGGAGTTAACTGCCAGTCCACCCTTGCCGATCTAGGCTGGAATTGCTGGGCTCGACCGTAGCGCCACCAGTGGCTATTACGAGTTATGTCCCTTCTATGCCTCTCCTATGTACCAATCAGATTCCACCTCTCGTATCACTTGCATCTGTTTCAAACAAAATGGCAGCGTCCGGTCGAGACGATCTTTTAAAATCTATATTATGATAAAACGGGTCTTACATTATACAGTATATGTCCGCGTATAAGCCGAATTTTGAGGACCAGAAAAAAGATTCTGTAGAAAGGGGTCGGCTTATCCACGGTTTATTTAAATCAATTGGATTAACATACAACAGTGGTATAAAGGGGGTATAAAAGTTGGTATATTTTTATTAACTGACATTCTCATCATGAGTTTGAAACAAAAACGCCATGCTTACGATGCTGAATTCAAACTGCATGTCTTCGCTCCAGCTGATATATTTTCTCACGGGTTCATAATTCTATATACATGTACACCGATTCACAAAATGGCGCTTCGTTGTTGATGGCAACATATAACGATCATTATGAGATTAAAAAAAGACAAGAGAAACAGCTTCCCACATTATGAAAGTGGATGACTGGTTTGTTAAATCTTTGTTAGAAATAATAATGACTTTTTCAATATAATTACAACGTTTTTCATTTTATATTTTTGAATATCTGCGAGTACTGGCACATGTCTTGCAGTCCGACTTCGCAGTGTTTTTTGCCATTCACTTCCTGGTTCGGCTTATCTGCGGGTCATATCATTTTCTTTCGTATTTCAATAGTCAAGTTAACACCTCGGCTTATCTACGGGGTAGGATTATCCACGGTCATATACGGTCAGTGCATCAAATCACGTTAGCACCTTGATTAAAAACATGACAAGAATTGGAAAATATCTGTTGACAACGAGTTGGCTGTGCACATGCTTTGCAAATCCTGCAATCGACCGAAATCCGCATGACAGTTTACTACCCGGATTTCGATTTCGGTGTGCGATTGTGATTGGACTATGCATAGACTCGTTAGTCCAGCCAAATTATAACTCCATAATATCAGCCTAGTTCGGCAAGGGTGGAAACTGGACTTGTACAGTCAGTTAGCTCCCTTGCCTCGGGAAGATGCATTGTATGTTAATATTGCCTTTAATGCCGTAATGTTAAAGTAAGCATTGTGAAATGAATTGGAGTGTGTGCAGCAATCTGAGTGGTTGAAACAAGTTAAATGGGAACAATTTTATAAGGTGAAGTTTATATGATATACAGCATTTCCAGTGGATGAGAGGACAGTCACATGACCTGACTACTTCCACATTCCTTGGGGAACACCTGGGAATTCCCTTGCACGAATACATACAGAAGAGTTGTTTCTGAGCATTTAAACCCTTTCAGCATACATTTGGAAACGTCAGAGAGTGATGAATGCATGTCTGTGCATGAATACCCTTGGTAGGACCTAGTGAACAAAGTAAGGAAATGCACACCCAAACTATCGACTCAATCCATGCCTTGTCTGACAAGTGACGACTCAATCCATGCCTTGCCTGACAAGTGACGACTCGATCCATGCCTTGCCTGACAGAGACAGTTTACAGCAATCGAGGAATTTACCCAATGATCTAATTGACACATCTTTATAATATCCTTTCAAAGATTGGCCAATGTATCAATGATGGCTAACAATTGCCACAGGTTCAGTGACTTTGGAAATCTCCCCGATCACATCATCTTCCCGAAGCAAGGGTGTTAACCGCAATAAAAGTCCAGTTTCCATCCTTGCTGAACTAGGCTGGAATTTCTGGGCATGATCATAACGCCACCAGTGGTTATTACGAGTTATGTGCGTTCTAAATCCCTCACAAGCTGTTTTATTAGCAAACATATTCAATATCTGATATGGCCACTTAAAAAAAATATTTTTGAAATAATTAAGTAAGTGAAAGATTCAGGGTCCCAGTTCCAGAGCCATATTGAGTAGGCATGTACTCACCTATTATCATTCACATGAGCTATTTATAGTTTACTTGGGTACTTTATATATTTTTAGTCCCTTGGGTTGAGTCTGTTGGGTTTTTTCAAACCAATGATAACAAATTTCTAAAATAATTTTGCTTAAAATTCTGGTTCAGGTGACAATTTATGCATTATTCACTGCAGCAGAATTCATGTAGATGTGATGCCTACATTCATTAGTTTGTTTGTTGTTTAACACCGCACTCAGCAATATTCAAGTTATATGATGACAGTCTGTAAATAATCAAGTCTGGACCAGACAATCCAGTGATTGACATCATGAGCATAGATCCATACAATTGGGATACAATGACATGCATCAACCAAGTCAGCGAGTCTGACCACCCGATCCCAAAAGTCACCTCTTACAACAAGCATAGTCGCCTTTTACGGCAAGGATGGGTTGCTGAAGATCTATTCTACCCCAGATGCCTGCATTCAATCAGCAAAAAATGATCTGTACAGAAATATAGGCTCGCAAACTGAAAATGCTACTATGGGTAAAATTGTATGCAAGCTGCTCAAAATGCATTGTGTAATGGTGATTTAAATTGTGTATTTGACACAAATACTCTGGAGCTCTGAAATGTATTTCTATTTCTAATTTGAGTTCCCAAGCACTCAAGTACCTATTTTCAAACACCTGTATTTGATAATGATTTGTTGCTATAACGAGAGAAGTAACGTTGTCAAAGCTCCTGCCTTGAGGGTGCACAGGTTCGGCCTGTCAACATTGGATTCGCATAAAGTACCATACACCAGTCAGAACAGTCCATCATCATTCAGAAGATTGGTGCCTGTGTCATGATAATCGTGGTAATGGGAAGTGTACACTATACACTAGTGTGAACACTTTAATTTGACAAATATTCATATTTTGTGAATAGGTCTCATACTTTCAGTGACTTTCTGAGTTTTAATGCCGACCTGCGAGAATTATGTTGAGAAATGTGCGCATTAACACGTCTGTTGATTCATGGAAACCCTGCTAAAGTACATAACCAATCGTGTGTTTCGAAAATTGGTGACGTGTGCAGCGGAAGTTTACAGGCGAGGTATGGAGCTGAATTTTATTGCCGAAGACATCACCTATTGGTATGAAGCAAATTCACTCATCCCTCGAAATATCAGCAATACCATCTTAACTGTTCGAAATTAGGGTACGTCAGGATATATCAGCAATTGTACAAAGCGCCCCTCCAATGCTTCAAAAACCTAGATCTAGTCGCCTTTCCTGAAATGCAAAATCATTAATGTGATGTGATAGTAGCTCTTCATCGTATTGTTGTTAACATGCCTACTGTCATCAATTTATAATATTACTGTCATTTTTTATACACACAACTACCATGTTTAGATAAGTCATTGATAAGATGGGCCTAACTTGTGATTGGTTATTTACTGTCTTATACTTGGTCAAACAGAGATGTAACGTAGGCTCTCGTCATCAAATGCTCCGTACACAAACAAGACTTGCCCAGGGGAATAAATGTAGGCTAGTAACATTCCACTTTGTCTAACAGAGATGTTGCTAGACCAACAGTGATAACGCGTGCATATATGTTGGTGTAAAATTAAACGCAGCAACACTCATTTTCAACAAAATCGGAGCAATCTCGCAATCGCATTTTCCTACAAAATCAGATAAGCACTCACTTTTGAAAACATCAAACGTCTGAAGATCAGCCTCGTCATCTTCCATGATTAGGTTATCCACGTATCATCAGGCAAGCGTACTAGATCTAGAGTTGTGATTACTGTATCTGCAAAAATGTTTGTTTTGTTTTCCGACTCGACAACAAACAAGAGTGCTCTCCCTTCCTTTCCTGCACAAGCTCCTTCCCAGCGCGTGACTCGTTACAAGATCGCCTGGGATTGCTTGCGTCGCGTACCAGCAGTGGAACCAGTTTACCGGGATTTACAGCCGGTGATTCTGCTGTGTATGAACTGACTCATTTATATAATGGACGAGGGAAGACCTGTATTTTGTGACAAAAGTAAAGCTGTCGATAGAGTTTGGCAAACGGGTCATAGTAGCAAGCATCATGCACGATTCCCTTTTGAACTGTTGAAATAGTTTGAAAACATTTAATGTTATATATATATATATATATATGTGTGTGTGTCTAGTTCAATATAAAACCAGTAAACGCAGGAGTCCCTTATGGTTCGGTCTTAGGGCCGTTATGCCTTTTTATATTCATAAATGATAAATAGGATAATATTCAGCGCAATATTAAAATATTTGCTGACGATACATCTTTGTATGTGATTATTGATGACCCCGAGTCGCGATATATACGTATATTATATATTTCTACTGCTGCTAAAACATTTGATTTAAAGATTGCTGCTGTTCTTTTATAGGGCTCAGAAATTTGGGGATGTGCCTATAGAAAAAGCATTGAAAAGGTTCAGGGTAATTTCTTTAAAAGTGTTCTTTCCTTTGGTAAAAGAACATCAGCAAATGCAATTCTAGGAGAGCTGGAAAGAAATTCACCGTGTGTACACTATTACAGTCGTTGTGTTAAGTACTGGTGTCGGCTACTTAGATTACACGAAACAAAATATCTGTATGCCTGTGTATCATATGTTAAAAGCATTTGACGAAAATGGTCAAACTAACTGGGTTCATTGTTTCAAACTGGGTTTTCACATGACATGTGGGGTTGTCTCAGGATTGCGGCGACATAAAATGCTTCATGGTTATAATCAAACAACGATGTAAAGATATAGAATTTCAAAACTGGCATTACAAAATCACAATTTTTTCTTTCCTTGATGTTTATTCTTCTTATAAATCACTACTCGAACCAGAAAAATATCTGTCTAATTTAGCATGTGAAAGAGATCTTAGAGCTTTATGTAAATTCCGTTGTTTAAGCCATAATCTAAATATACAGAAAACCCGATTTAATACAACCAGAGTCATCGTTTAGTTTATGTATGAAATGTAACCGCTGTGAAATAGAAAATGAATACCATTTTTTGTTAATTTGTCTTTTTTTTTATAAAAGTAGTAGAGAAAATTTAATTCCAAAATGTTACCATGTGCAACCATCTGTCCCAACATGTACCAGTCTTCTATCCACCAGAAATGATTGTGTTATTAAAAACCTGTCCATATAAACTAGTGTCCAAAAGAAACGATACCACCTGTTTGCAACGACATAAAAGAAAAACTAAACAATGCAGAAGTTTAGGATTGGTGTTATGCTTTTGAGAAATCCTTTCACAACATCTGTACAAAATTTTCATTTCAATAAAATCTGTACAACCAATATGACAAGACTTTAAAGATGTGTGGGGTCGAAAATGAACATTTCGTTAGAGCACTGATCACAGAAACAACGGGAAATGTCACACCACACGTCTCAAAGTCAAGTCAGTAGCGGGTATGTCCACCGTGAGCATCAATACATGCCAGAACACGCCTACGGACTGATGACGTCAAACGTCTGATGACGTTGGGAGTGATGCGTTGCCATTCCTCGAGGAGACATCGTTCCAAGTCCTGGACGTTGACTGGAGGCACACGGCGACGTCGGATTTGTCGATTGAGGTGGTCCGATAAGTGCTCGATGGGATTCATGTCCCGGTGAACATGCGGGCCATGGCAAAACCTGTACGTTGGCGTTGGCAAGGAAGTTCTGTGTCAATCTTGCTGTGTGTGGCCTTGCATTGTCATGTTGGAAAAGGAGTCCACGAGGCTGTTGCTGAATAAAGGGCACCACAACAGGCCGTAGGATGTCATCAAGATAACGCTGTGCATTCAGGTTTCCACGAATAACGACAAGCATCGTTTTGACGTCACCACATATGCCACCCCAAACCATTAACCCTCCACCTCCAAACGGCCGGACCTGTTGGATACAGTTAGGCGCCAAACGTTCACCAAATCGTCGGTATACAAGCTGCCGTCCATCGTTTCTGAAGATGAGGAATCTGCTCTCATCAGAGAACAGAACACGTGCCCAGTCCCGCCGTTGCCAACGTCGAACTCGCCTGGCCCAGATCAGTCTGATGTTCCGGTGTCGAGGCGTCAGGAGCGGTCCGCGGTAGGGATGACATGGCCGGATACCATACTGCCGTAGTCTCCTGTAGACGGTCTGTCGACTGATCCTGTGTCCCAGTGCTGTAGCCGCCGTGGACGTCGCTGTTACGGTGCGGTTCCTCGGGTGTAATACCCGGATGTAACGATCTTCACGGGGCGTGGTTACTCGTGGTCTTCCACTCCTGGGCCTGTCTGACGTCTGACCTGTCTGACGTAACCGCTGCATCAACCTGGTGATAGTGATGCGTGGGCAGCCCAACCTTCTGGCGACGTCGACGTGTGACGCTCCTTGTTGGACAATTCCAAAGGCTCTCTCTCTCGATGGCTGTCAAACGTGGCATATCTTGTGTTCTTTTTGTTGCTGTGATATCAACGTGTCTGAACAGCCGTTTTATACAGTTTTTCTGCACATGCAGAACATGCTAGAGAGGGAAATGTCACTTTCACGAAATTTACGTTTTTTCCCGGAAGTGATCACGTGTTCCCGGTATTTTTTATCGACTATGCTGTGTTTGGGATGTGCAATACGAATTGGCATGTTTTCATACTTGACAATTCACTTAGTAAAATTTTTTTTTGAAAATAAGTTGGTATCGTTTCTTTTGGACACTAGTTTATTTTTAAAGACATTTACCTATGTAAATACAAATGTAAAAAAAGATGAACATTTGTCGTAACAAAATTTGTGCATGTGCATAGTATATATTATTCCTGTTAATGAACTTTGGGTCAGGCGGCCTTCATTCATAAACGTCTTCTTCTAAACATTGCCTCCTACCTGTATATTTTGTTTGTTTGTTTGTTTGTTTGTTGTTTAACGCCGCTCTCAGCAATATTCCTGCTATATGACGGCAGTCTGTAACTAATCGAGTCTAGACTAGACATTCCAGTGATTGACATCATGAGCATCGACCCATGCAATTGGGTATTTACTAAGCTTGTTTACCAGCATGGGCGGTGTATACAGCAAGCAAAATATAAAATATATGCATGTTTGTTTCTTTTATTGGGTAACACCTGAGATCAACAACAGACTATGTACAATCATTGAGGAGACAAAAAATATCTGCAACTACATATAAATTCCCCGCTATAGCGTAAAATTAAAGTCACCAAATCATTTTCAACACATGAATAAGGCCGCAAATATATATGAGATAACAAACAAGTCAATACACGGTAAGAGGAGAATGAAATAGTCGGGTCACTAATTCTCTAACAAAGAATGCAATGACACTGTACACCGAATCGCCGGACTTTGCCGAGCGGCTTCGGAAATTAGACGGTTAAGGCAGAGGGAAGCAGTGCGGTCAATTAACCGTGACTAGACTAAATTGGGCGGCAAAAGAAAGTATAGGTCGAGTTCCATGATCGATAAAAAAATAACAAGAAGAGGTTTTGTTGTGAATTATAATATAATCTAGGGAGGGGTAACAAATGATTGATCAACCACAGTTTGAATGAAATTGTGCAATCACAGGTAATGTAAGCTCAAGGTAAACAATGGTGGGGTAAGAAATTTCATTTTCGAAAGTTGTCTTAAATGTCACCAAAAAATTGTCAGACACACTACAAGTTCATTGTCGACACAGTTGCCTGTATAGCGTGTATGACCTCCAGCTGCCTCAATGCATGCTGTGATACGCCGCCTCATCGATGACGTCAGTCTTCTGATGACGTGGACTGGAATCCGTTGCCACTCGTCTCTCAGGGCCTGCTGCAATTCTTGTCTGTTGACGTGAGGCTGATGGCGTGCTCTAATCTGTCTGTCAAGATGGTCCCACAGATGTTCAATAGGATTCATATCGGGTGGGTGGACAGGCCAGGACAAAACGTCAACGTTCTGCTGGTTTAGAAAGTTCCGAGTCAGTCTTGCAGTATGGGGCCTGGCGTTGTCGTGTTGAAACAATGTCCCCTGCTGTTGGTTTTGTAAGAACGGAAGCACAACTGGCTGCAATACTTGGTCTCTGTATTGCAGTCTTCTGATCTCTCAATTTCACTTGCCAGCGTCGAACCTGCCTCGCCCATCGCAGTCAGTACCATTCCTTGGAAAGGACGATACGCTCGGATTCCAGCAGCACGAAGTCGTCGTTGTACTGTACGTTGGCTAATGGGATGTCCCAACGCTGTTGCTGCCGTCGCAGTCGCCGTTACGAATCTGTTTCACAGGTGAATGAGCCGTATCTGACCGTCTTCCAGTAGTGTTGTCACTCGGGGTCGTCCGGTTCTAGGCCTGTCCTGTGTCCTCCCTGTCTGCCTGTACCGTTGAATCAGCCTGGCTACTGTCAATGGTGTACAACCAAACCTTCTGGCAATTTGGGCCTCTGTTGCCCCCATTTCGGCAATACCGATGGCTCTCTCTCTCTGCTCCTGTGATAGTCGTGGCATTTCTTTTGTGTGCTTTCATCACGTGTGGCTATACCCTGCAGACGAACGCATTTATACAGCTAACATGCACGTGCAGATTATGCCATAGGCGGGAAACCTGTTTCACCATTTTTTTGTCACCGCACCGAGCGCCGTCAAAGGTGGCGCGTTCGGGTGAGGTGTTTTTTGGTACCTGTTCCTGGGCAGTCATATTCCCAATACCTACTTTCCACTAGCTATCGCTGTTTTTAGGAAAATTACAAATTGCCAACCTATACTTTCTTTTGCCGCTTAGTTTAGAATGACATCCACCGGTCTGCTGGAATGATATCAGCAAATCTACTAGAATGATATCAACCGGTCTGCTAGAATGATATCAACGGGTCTGCTAGAGTGATATCAACCTGTTTACTAGACGGATATCAACTCGTCTGCAAGACTTATATCAACAGTCTGCCGTCTGCTAGAATGATATTGGAATGATATCAACATGTCAATCTGAATGTATCAACATGGCTGCACTCATAATATATAAATTTGATCCCGACGGAATAAAATATAGTTCACTTACCATTGTGATGCCTCTCTAAGTTAATTTCTATTACTAATTCTCATGTTTAATCACAATGATGCAGCATTGTTCTCAGCCTAAACAAGAGAGATAGAAACATACTTTACATTGCATCATTGTATGCGTATTAAATTAGTTCCAGGTACATGTTTCTCCAATGAGCTTAGCATCCATTTTGCATTCCCACGATCAGCTAGATAAGCACTTGTCTATGACTATATACTGTCTATCCGTCGTGGTATCTTCCTGCTAAGGGGGGCACGGGTGGCCCAGTCGTCTGAGGCGCCGCGATTTGCTGTGCAGACTTGCGTCCCTTGGGCACGCCAGAAACCGAGGATTGTGGGTTCGAATCCCGGTTCGCCCCGATTGTGTTTCTAGGTTTGTCAGCACCATACCCGTGCTCGTGGGTTTCACCGAAGTGGTAAACGTCTGACACCTGCATCACTTCGGGCTTTTCTCCCACATTAAGCTGACATGCCGTGATATAACTGTAATAATGTTAAAAGCGGCGTAAACCCAACTCACACACTCACTCTTCCTGCTAAGAAAGAGGTGTGTCACATTATTCTTAAACCAATGTTTACAATCTTTCAGGAGGGACGTATGCAGTAAGGCAGTTTCAGTGAGTGAGTAAGTGAGGTGTGACAGAGAGAGTGGGCTTTCGCAGTTTGATCAGTATTTCAGTTATATTATGGCTTGATTAGTTAAATGTGGAAGGATGCAAGCCTTAAATGTTACCATTTTGGTGGAACTTAAGAGCACACACAGGGTACTGACAAAACCAAAAGTCCTTGTCAGAATCCAATCACAGGATCCTATCACGTCTAAGGGACGCAACTCTTCATTGCAAATTGAAGCGCCTTGGCCACCCACATCATGTGTACACAGTCTGTCTGAACATTTCTGATAATTATTTGCGCCAAATAATTATATCAAACGTTGTCCAAAAAAGTCAGGAAGGGGGAGCAGTATCCTCACACAGTGTGCTCATGTACTAGGGCGACCGGGTAGCCTAGTGGTTAAAGCGTTCGCTCGTCACGCCGAAGATCCTGGTTCGATTACCGACATGGGTACAATGTGTGAAGCCCATTTCTGGTGTTCCCCGCCGTGATATTGCTTAAAGCGGCGTAAAATCATACTCACTCATACACTCACTCATGTACTCACGTGAAGAAGGGATCTATGAAACCGCTATTAACCGGCCTATCGCCGGCTAACGTTCCACATCTATTATAATTACGATGTGAAGGGACAGAAAACATTTGAATGCCTAAACGTCCTGTGTCTTCCACCTCAAATTTCATTGAAGTGGTAAATAGAAAATCAGTAAGTCAACATGAAGGATATAAATACTGGTATTAGTTCCAATGTTATTTTAATTTCAGTCGTCATTCATTACATGTATGTTCCTAAGCCATATGTCGATCACTAGTTCATACATACATCTCACTGGATGTTACCAGATAGCCACGGGGACAAACTATTTTTAAGTGAGTGAGTGAGTGAGTGAGTATGGTTTTACGCCGCTTTTAGCAATATTCCAGCAATATCACGGCGGGGGACAACAGAAATGGGCTTTACACATCGTATCCATGTCGGAAGTGGAACCCGGGTCTTCGGCGTGATGAGCGAACGCTTTAACCACTAGGCTACCCGACCGCCCCGACAAACTATTTAAGACAAACCAGGACAGGCCGTGTGAAGGACATGGTACTCACTGGTATTTTCTGCTATACTTTCTTTCAACTAATAGTAAAGGTAATTTGTCACACAAGCATACAAAACCAGCCGTTTCTTTTTCTTTATTGTAAGGGTACACATGTACACGGTCCTATTTCGTCGTGTCCTGCTAAAAGTCCATGGGGTGTGGGGTGTGTGGGGGTGAGGTGTGGGGTGAGGTTGTACAAAAAAAATCAGTGGGATATCACAACATCCTCTGGAATATCAAAACATACTCTGTTGTAGATGTGATCAATGTTGAAACAGGAGGTTCCGGGTGGTTGGTGATGATTGTGTGATCACATTCTCTATAATGTTATACGGCGATCTCAACCCATGCTTGTCGTAAGAGGCGACTAACGGGATCGGGCGGTTAGGCTCGCTGACTTCTATCACATTCTCTTTAATGTCATACGGCGATCTATGAGGGTTCCATTGTTGTAAAGTTGTTAACAGTTAAACCAGGAGGTTTCAGATGGTTGATGATGGTGGTACTGCGTTCAATGACTGCCTTCCCTATAATGTAATACGGCGACATGCCGTAAAAGGCGAATATGCTTGTCGTAAGAGGCGACTAACGGGATCGGGTAGTCAGGCTCGCTGACTTCTATCACATTCTCTATAATGTCATACGGCGATCTATGGGGGTTCCATTGTTGTAAAGTTGTTAACAGTTAAAAGAGGAGGTTCCAGATAGTTGATGATGGCGGTGCTGCTTTTAATGACTACCTCCCCTATAATGTCATACGGCCATCTCAACCCATGCGTGCTGTAAAAGGCGACTCAATTGTCGTAAGAGGCGACTAACGGGATCGGGTGGTCAGGCTCGCTGACTTGGTTGATGCATGTCATCGTATCCCAACTGGGTAGATCGATGCTCATGATGTCAAGGACTGGATTGTCTGGTGAAGACTCGATTATTACAGACCGCCGTCATATAGCTGGAATATTGCTAAATGCAGCGTTAAACAACAAACAGACAACAAAAATACGGCGATCTGGGGTATTCAACACATCCACTGTTGTAAACTTGTTCAGTGTTGCAACATGAAGATCCAGGACGGTGACGATGCTGATATTGAGTTTAATGATCACCTTCTGTGATGAGGAAGGACCACCTGTACCTGCCTTGGTATACTCCTGAAACAGTCAAAATTGTTATTAATGTATACTACTCAAAAGAAGTTAAGGATCACCTGATTCTTTCAAATTACAAAAGTTAATCTCTCATGCCATGACAGATTAACATTGCCAATATGAAAGAATCGGGTGATCCTTAACTTCTTTTGAGCAGTTTAAATATTACTAACCATTAATAATATCAGGCCTTGGGCATACCGGGGAAATAGTCCCATATAGTCTGCTTGTCGTGACTCTTGGAGACTTGGTTAATTGCGTGTCATCGTACCCCGACGGCGAGACGATGATCATAATATCAATCACTGGTTTGTCTGACCCAGATTCTATTGTTTGCAACCCGCCGTGACAAAGAATGAACAAAGCAAGCCCCCATTTGGCGGCTTCAAAACGCAGAGAATAACGGACAATCACTTCATCGTCATGTCGATCAATACACTGTCAACAATAAAAACGGCCTACAACACTCCACTCCGTCTTTCAATATGCATACGCTCTAGTTGTGGGATCAGGACAGATGTTTGTTGCTTTTAAATAACTATGAAATCACATATGACTTTTTACGGTGTAAATATGTACTTTGCATGACTTTTTAGCATGTTAAGAAAGTTTTGATTCAATAGACGTCTTTGAACACGGGACCCGTGAAAATCCGGGGTAGAATAGGTCTTCAGCAACCCATGTTTGCCGTAACAGGCGACTATGCTTGTCGTAAGAGGCGACTAGCGGGATCGGGTGGTCAGGATCGCTGGCTTTCTTGAAGCATGTCATCGTATCCCAATTGCGTGGATCGATACTCACGATGTCAATCATTGAATTGTTTGGTCCAGGCTCGATTATTCACAGACCGCCGTCATATAGCTGGGATACTGCTGAGTGCGGCGTTAAACAACAAACAATCAATCCATCAACCTTGAAAACAGATTCATGACTGTCATAGTGCTAGGATCGCTAGGTTGAACGGGGGACGAAGACAATCCAGTGATTGATAACATGATCAACGATCCATGCCATCGAGGTACGATGACACACAATCAACCAATTCACCAACTTCGGATTGCAAATGAAAAGAATGAAATAAACTTCTAGCATATTTTACCTGCACTTATATAAAGGACGGGGAGAGAAGACTCTGATGAGAAACTCCCTGTTGACCCCGGGATGGACGAGGGACGGGAGAACAATGTATCGCCCGGGGGTGAGGCTGTAGCGGAACGTGTACTGGCGCGCGGGGTAGTAGTAGTCCTTTCTTTCTGTATTGCATGGCATCTTTTCTAGAAAGATGTGGCTGGCGGTTTCAGCGCCGTTTATTACCTACAATATATAAAAAATAAATAATAATATAAATACAAGGTCGCTTGTATCGCGCTTACCTCATACAGTATATGCTTCAAGCGTGACAAATAGAAAACAGTCAGTTTTCAAGAGACGCTTGACTTGAAATAGTGACGAAACAGATCCATTGACAGGGAATGGTGATGGTGAGTATGGTTTTACGCCGCTTTTAGCAATGTTCCATCAATATCACGGCGGGGGACACCAGAAATGGGCTTCACACATTGTACCCATGTCGGGAATCGAACCCGGGTCTTCGGCGTGACGAGCGAACGCTTTAACCACTAGGCTATCCGACCGCCCCACATTGACAGGGAAGGTCGTCTTAGTGGCCCTCGCATCACTTCGGGCTTTCCTCACACTCTTTGTTTGTTTGTTTGTTGTTTAACGACGCATATAACGTCCAGCTATATGACGCCCGTCTGTAAATAATCGAGTCTGGACCAGACCAGTGATTGACATCATGAGCATCGATCCACGCAAATGAGATACGATGACATGCATCAACCAAGTCAGCGAGTCTGACCACCCGATCCCGTTAGTCGCCTCTTACGACAAGCATAGTCGCCTTTTACGGCAAGCATGGGTTGTTAAAGACCTATTCTACCCCGGATCTTTACGGGTCACATTTACCTTGAATAGGTCGCACCGCATATGATAAATCCTGTCCCCACGGTCGGCGTTCTGTACGATGTGGACCACAACCGGTACATCACCTCCTGGAAAACACGTCGCAATATTTAATCAAATCTATTGTTACTCTCTGATCGGATAAAGAAATGATCCGTTACATAATAAACACTGTCCACCTATTAACCATTCACTGAGAGTTATGTGGTCCAAAAACTATCTTACATAGCCTCCGTTATGTCCAGAGATGACTGAGCGAGTAATCGAGTTAAATTCAAGCCGTTTTCAACAGTATCTAAGTTACATGACGGCGTGTCTGATTAAAGTGGGAGGAAAGCCGGAAGTAGGCGGCGCATAGCTTAGACGTTTCATATGCTTGGTGAAACCCTTGAGCCAAGCTATGGTGCTGACAAGAGAGGTCATGATCAGGGAGAATGCGGGATTTCAATCCATAATTACTATATGTATTGCATAAGTCAATCGTTGTCTTATGAGCAACCTTACTAATATTTCTGTTACCTCACAATTCTAAGATGGAGGTTAAAAGGACACTGTCAAGTCATTTCAATACTACATGGATGACACCTGGTGTTCTTGAAACGAGTCAACACATATCACTCACTGTTTGTGTGTTTGTTGTTTAACACCAATATTTCAGCTATATAACGGCGTTCTGTAAATAATCGAGTCTGGACCAGACAATCAAGCGATTAACAGCATGAGCATCGATCTACGCAATTGGGATACGATGACATGCATCAAATAAGTCAGCGAGCCTGACCATCCGATCCCGTTAGTCGCCTTTTACGACAAGCATAGTCGCCTTTTACGGCACGCATGGGTTGAGATCGACGTATGACATTATAGGGAATGTGATAGAAGTCAGCGAGCCTGACCGCCCGATCCCGTTAGTCGCCTCTAACGACACGCATAGTCGCCTTTTACGGCAAGCATGGGTTGAGATCGACGTATGACATTATAGAGAATGTGATAGAAGTCAGCAAATCTGACCGCCCGATCCCGTTATTCGCCTCTTACGACAAGCATAGTCGCCCTTTACGGCATGTCGCCGTATGACATTATAGGGAATGTGATAGAAGTCAGCGAGCCTGACCACCCGATCCCGTTAGTCGCTTCTTACCACAAGCATAGTCGCCGTTTACAGCACGCATGGGTTGAGATCGCCGTATGACATTATAGAGAATGTGATAGAAGTCAGCGAGCCTGACCGCCCGATCCATTTAGTGGCCTCTTCCGGCAAGCATGGGTTGCTGACGACCAATATTCTTACCCGGAATCCCCATAAATGTTATCAACCATACCACGTGCACGACGACATCACTCGTCCGACAGAAAGACTTCTACTTACGTTACTGTCCAGTAAATGTTCTCTGTCAAGTACTCACCTTGTCCAGGAAGCGTGTACGCCATTTTCGGATTTCCTAGTCTCTCCGTTATATCATATCCTTGACCCACTGAGGTTCCTCCTTGCCACTGTCCGAATATCTTCAGTACGTAATCTGTCAAACAGAAGGCACGTGTTACTTCGACCATGAGTGAGCGAGTGAGGTTTGCGCCGCTTGTAGCAATATTCCAGCAATATCAGGACAGGGGACACCAGAAATGGGCTTCACACATTGTGCAAATGTCGGGAATCGAACCTGGGTTTTTCGTCGTGACGAGCGAACGCTTTAATCACTACGCTACTACTCCAGCGCCCACTTCGGCCATGGCTCGATACATATGAGTGAGTGAGTGAGTGAGTGAGTTGGGTTTAACGCAGCTTTTAACAGTATTCCATTTATATCAGGGCGTGTCAGCTTAATGTGGGAGGAAAGCTCGAAGTGATGGAGGTCTCAGACGTTTACTAGTTTGGTGAAACCCACGAGCACGGGTATGGTGCAGACAAACCTAGAAACATAATCGAGGCGAACCGGGATTCGAACCCACAACCATAGGTTTCTGGAGTGCCTAAGGGACGCAACTCTGCACAGCGAATCACGACGCCTTAGACGACTGGGCCACCCGTGACCCCTCGATACACATGAACGATGGTCCATGTTTTATCAGAGTAGAGAACATGCTTGGGTTGTTCCTTGGTATATTTTTGACATGGCCATGTTCTAGATGTATGGTGTGACTTACGTTAGTTGTGGGATCCGATATAAAACTATTTAATGTTCCTTTGGTCAACACACAAAGATGAGAATTCCGTAAAACGTGAGAACATACGTAAAATCCGTCCGCTGTGTGTTATGTTCAAGGACAGTCCCATCTATTCCACATCACAACCATAAACAACATTGCAGGAATTCATCTGCGATATCCACCTATTTCATAGCAATCTCTCCGGTATTTGATAGAATATAACAGACCTCAGTAATATCAATATTAGACGGACGAAGTAGCTCTGTCGCAGCAGGTTCAATGCAATTTTCTTTTTGTATCAGAGACATATCACTACAATATCACACCCATTTCCTTTTTATATCACTGCAATATTGGTGTCATAGAACAGCTATATTACACCGGGATGCAGCATTATCAAGACGTTTTACAGTAATATCAGTACTTTGTCATATCTATATCATGGCAAATGCACCACAAATTCTAAAACTAATAACTCTCAATCTATAATATCGGTACGGAAGCGTAGTAGGTCCACGGGGAATTTTGTTTGGTCTAAGTATCTCCTACGTAGGACTTACTTTCTCCTACGTAGGACTTACTTTCTCCTACGTAGGACTTACTTTCTCCTACGTAGGACTTACTATCTCCTACGTAGGACTTACTTTCTCCTACGTAGGACTTATTATCTCCTACGTAGGACTTACTTTCTCCTACGTAGGACTTACTTTCTCCTACGTAGGACTTACTATCTCCTACGTAGGACTTACTTTCTCCTACGTAGGACTTACTATCTCTTACGTAGGACGTAGGAGATAGTAAGTCCTACGGAGGAGATACTTAGGCAAAAAAATAATTTCACCGTTGCCCACTACGCTTCCGTGTATCGGTTCACCACGTGTCCAAAATGTCTTTATCTAGCTTCTGATACTAATTTAATGTCCTGATGTGGTCCGCACGAACAAATGTATTATTTTGCATATTATTCTTATTACTGGAGACGTCGTGAGGCTGCAGAACAATAGGTTTAAACTCACTTAACGGGTCGGATCGCCCGTCTATGTCAAAGTCCGGAGTCAGGGAACAGATGGTAGTCTGATGAAAATATCTGATGAAGTCATCCACGTCTATCCAGAACTCTCCATCCTCGTTGTCATGGTGAAGGTTGCTGCCTATCTGCAGGGTCGACCACTCATCACTCCTGGTTTATACACATGGAACCGAGTTTTGCAACATCCTTTCATATATCCTGAACCGCGGTGTATATGTTTAATTATCAGCTACTGACAATGATAACACTTCTATGTTTCTCCTGATGGTGCCAACTATTGGGTTACATCATATCGTGCAAAGGAGAAGAGGATGCGGCTTAAATAGTAACCACATAAGTATCATCTTAGATCGGTGACCCGTGAAGATCCGGGGTAGAATAGGTCTTCAGCAACCAATGCTTGTTGTAAAAGGTGACTATGCTTGTCGTAAGAGGCGACTAAAGCGTTGGGGTGGTCAGACTCGCTGACTTGGTTGATGCATGTCATCGTATCCCATTTGCGTAGATCGATGCTCATGATTTCAACCACTGGACATGTATTTAAATAATCGATTTCTGTGTTTCAATATGTTTCATAAAAAAAATTGATACAATATAAAAATATTATTTTGCTCAGAATTAAAAGAACGTGCGGTTCCTAACTGTTTTCCAGGTATTTTCTTGTCGTGACATTATTAGTGAAGGAATGGGTGTATTTGTCATCTCTAGCTTAATTTGGTAAAAGTGACTAAGCAGAGTTTTACACTACCTACCTGTCACTCCATTTCCCCTGCCACTCCTCACTGTGTTCGCCATGTGGGTTGCGTATCCGCACCAGGGGGATCTCTTCTCCGTCATGTCGCATGACCTGTGACAAAGGGAGATAATCACAGATTGGTCTGTGAGTGAGTGAGTTAAAATTTAACGTCAAGTTGTACGTACTGTCCGGAAAACTTTAAGAACTCCTCTTATTTTGCTGTTTCATTGTGGATTTTTATACATATATGCAATACGATAAAGGTGTCGTTGGCGATGCCAGGATTCGCAGATCGCAGGTTCAAATCCAGATTAGCCCAGATTCGAACCATACGCATACTCGTTTTTTCATCAAAGATTTTTAATCTGACACGCCGTGAGAAGTCTACAATAAAGTACAAAACGGCGTTCCACTCACTCACTCCGGATGATTAAGCAAGTTTGGCTACATGATCTTGTCATCATTGTAAATCAACCCTACCGTTTCTATTTCTTTGAAAACATCACTCCCGAACATGGCTATGTATGGGACAGAAGGGGGCCAAACCCATGTGATTTGTGTTTTTTTTAGAGTATCTTGCTGCAGATATGCAAATTTCTATTCACCACTTTAGCGCCGGTCAGGGAGTAAGCATGCGCTCCAAGCAGCCCCATGTTATCTTCGTCTGCCTGAAAACACAAACTGTATTCACGACAAGTTGAAGTAGTCACATCCACTCCCGATAAACACATTCGCTCACTTCTGGAACATCACTACCCAGATGTGCAACGCTTGTGTCCCATGCCGGCCATGGGAATCGAATACAAAAGGACCATTTTCCTTAACGGCAATGGAACTCAAAGCCAAATCGACCATATCCCATAACGGCCATTGGAATCGAAGCCAAGACGACCATATTTCATAACGGCCATTGGAAGGGAAGCCAAAACGACCGTATCCCATAACGGCAATGTGAATCAAAGCCAAAACGACCATATCATATTACGATCATGGAAAGCATAGCCAAAACGACCGTATCCCATGACGGCCATGTGAATCAAAGCCAAAACGACCATATCATATTACGACCATGGAAAGCATAGCCAAAACGACCATATCCCATAACGGCCATGGAAATCAAAGCCAAAACGGTCAAGTGAAATTGTCAAAACGACATTTGTTATGTTCGATGACCAACACTTGGAATGCTCCAGTGAATATGGATTTTAATAAACGTGAAATTAGACCATGCCTAAAATGACTGAATATAAAATAAAAGAAAAGTGTAATATATCTGAAAAGTAAAAAAACGAGTGCTATTTTGAAATCAATTCTCTTTGATATTAAGCTTTATGTTAACAGATTAAATGATACTGAAGTCCACTGAGAAAGCTACTCACGAGATTACAGCAGGTCACCATGCCGCCACTGCCCAGCGCATTTGCTATTCGCCGGAAAAGATGGTGGGGATGATCGCTGTAGTTAGCAAAGTCTATGGTCTCTGCTACACCCCCGGTCAGCGACAGGTAGGCGTCGCTTGGCCAACCCCCTTCAACAACGCTGTACGACCCATGGAGCCTAAACACGAGGTGACAATGATAGGTAGTCCAAGACCGACCGACAGACAGGCAGACAGGCCGGCGAGCATATCATTAGACTGTCTCACAGTCCCTGAACCATATTATTTTCCCTTCCTCCCAGCCCTTACTATAATACAATTTCCCCTATGAAGTAAGTCTAGATTTTACATGGGTGCTCCTTTTCAAAATTATATATAGTATAGTATATGATACGCATGTACTAGAAATAACTAATTTTCGCCGTACATATGACTGAGCGAGTCGGGTTAAAGATTGCTCTTAACAGCGTGTCAGCTTTCCGAGTTTCATGCGGAAGAGTCCGACAGGGCACTGGTAGAATACAGTTGTAACCATATTGAGCCCGGATATACATGTGGGGACCACGTAGCAAGGATCCGACTCTAAATAACCTGTTCGACTCATTTACTAAATAGTTAGTACGAATAGTTCCCACTAAAGCTAGAGTGAGTGAGTGAGTGAGTATGGTTTTACGCCGCTTTTAGCAATATTCCAGCAATATCACGGCGGGGGACACCAGAAATGGGCTTCACACATTGTACCCATGTCGGGACTCGAACCCGGGTCTTCGGCGTGACGAGCGAACGCTTTAACCACTAGGCTACCCGACCGCCCCCATAAGCTAGACTTACCACATCTCGTATATTGTATAAGGACACAGAAGCCACAATGTGTCCATCCAAACCACTGTTTCTTACAGCTGTTGAATTTACCGATATTCTCCAAAGTTCTAAACATGAGTTTGTGACCAGGTTTCAGCGCATATCATATTCCACTTGACGGATATGTTCATAACCTTTACAAATATTTCTTGAGATATTACATACCATTGTAAAGAAGTTATGATGAAACATGAACAGAGAACGATATGTCAATAAAACACGAGGATGAGTAGGATATAACTCGGTCTGCAACATGGGACATAGGCCTTAGAGTATCCAGAGATTTGATAGCATACCTTGCAAGGGCCTTTTCTAGCAGAGAGACCCACAACTCTCCGGAGAGTGACGGAGCGGCAGCCCCAAACAGGAACACTGATTTCCTCCTGACCGGCAACAGATCATCCGTGTAAACGTCCACCCACTCCCCAAACCGCCACATTCTGCAGTGGAAGATTCCGTCCGTTCTTGGAGTGTACGACATTTCGTTGATCACCTAAAATGTATAATGAGTGAGTATGTTGGTTCTTTTTTGCGAACTCCTGAATGTCAGTGATCCATTTAACTATCCACCCCCCCCCCCCCCCCCCCCCCCCCCACACACACACACACCCCATATTTTGTCTTTTGGTCATAGTGTAATCTGTTAAGGTGGATAATATTGTTATTCTCTGGCGTTGAGTTTAATATTTGTGTCGCGTGTAGCCTAATGCCCAGCCATTTCACGACATTAATGGGCTTTGTGTCCACGTTTGGGAATTGAAGCCTAGCCTTCGGCGTTGACGTGCTATCCCTCGAACCACTGGGCTACCTATTGTCCCTCCGTTATATATGTCTTGTCTCTGTTTTGTTGCACTTCAATGTATTTGGTCATACAGTTCAAAGTGTGGACATTAGAACCTTTCATACAAACCTTTCTTCGAAGAACTGGATTGTCGGCTACATTTGCAACCATCGCCAAAAACCAACATGTTCCAAAGCTGCGTTGATTAATGTCGCCCCTTTCAGTTTCTTCGTGGAAGAGTACAGGGTTTCTGAATATTTTCTGAAATTCCACAAAAATGCATCAATCATGTGAGGTGAGGTGAAATGGGGTTTAACGTCGCGTCCAAGATTATTGCACTTATATAGCGACGTGCATGTTCGTGTGTGTGTTTGTGTGGCTGCTTGTACTAGTCCGCACTGATGCCGATTGCCGACATGGGTACAATGTCTGAAGCCCATTTCCGGTGTCCCCCGCCGTGATATTGCTGGAATATTGCTAAAAGCGGCGTAAAACCATACTCACTAAC